ATCAAGACTCCACGAGGCAGGGAGAGCACAGTGCGTGGCGCGACGGCCTCCCTCTCAGACACTCCTCATTTTGAAATCACGATGCCCCTTTGTTTAAAAACGCGCTTTCCTTTCCTCATGCCTGCCTCCCCTCCCCTGTGTGCACGCGCTAAGTTCTTGGGTCATTCCTCCACATTTAATTTTATTCATTAATCATGACATCATCTGGTTCAACTAAAAGAGCCTGCGGTCAGCTGCTTTGTCCTGGCAACTGGTGCTCCCGCAGGGGGCAGCCCGTACCCCGTACCACATCCGGATGGGACACAGCTGCACGCCGGCCTCCTCTCTGCTCGGGACGCCCACAGTGGTGCCCGCCCGGCACCTGGTTGGGGCCAAAGGTGATGGAATCCAGGGTCTCCTGAGTGTTGGCTCCCCTGGTTCCCCAGATGCTTTCGAGGTTCCATGGTCACCCCCACCCCAGGAAGTACCTGCTCTCTGCCCTCCTGGACCCTCTTGAGAAGAGAAAACCCCAAGAACTCTCTGGCCGACACGCACCTGGGACACGCGTGTGCGTAACGGAACCAGAGGCCCACTGTTTCCTGGCTGGGTGGCTGTGCTCCCGCGGCCGATGACCCACTCCTCTACCACTGCTGCCAGCCGGACGCCGCTTGGTGGTCCTCGGAGCCCAGGGCCGCGGCGGCTCTGTTCCAGACTCTGTTCACGGCTCAGAGGCTTTCATCTTCACCATCTAGGTTCACGTGTGCTGTCAGCAAAGGCCCAGCGAGGGCCAGCACGAGCTGGACGGCGGCCTCTCCCACGTGCTCCTGGTCCAGCAGCACCAGCCCCACCTGCAAATGTGTTAGAAACACTCATTTTCAGGCCCCAGTCCTGACTGACAGGGACCCGGACTCCATCTGGGCAGGGCCGTGCTGGGTGGACTGCTCCCAAGTCGTCCCGGACTCATGGACGCCACTGGGCGTCCCCGCAGACTGTCCGTGGCACAGCCGTACCCCACGGGTCAGGCACTTTCCGATGGCTCCTTGCACTACCTCACCCCTGCTCTGAGACAGGCACCTCAACACGGGCCCTCGAAGAATCTTCTGTGGCTCGTGAGCATCCTGAGGAGGAGTGACAAAGACCGACCACCGCCCGGTGGGTGCTGATGAGGCATAGAGACCTGGGCCCACACCTGCGCCCACACCTGCGCGCACAGGAGCGCTTCTGTGTCTCCCTGCAGGAGTCAAAGACCCCGAGGCCGGAGGCCGCGTGTGAGGAAGCCCTGCGTCTTCCTCCAAAACTACTCTGTGGTGACAACATGGGGACACCGGTGGTGACAGAAGCTCCCTGCGGCATCTTCCCGGAAGGGACGGTCGCACAGGGTGAGGATGTCTGCCTCAGACTCTGCTTCAGGATGAGTCAGGAACGTGCGGTCGAGTCAGAGCCCACAGAGCACCGCCCTCTGCGAAAGCGTTCAGGCCACCACCGGCTCCTCGGGGAAGGAAGCGAGCGACCGCGGCGAGTTCGGAGGGGCCGGGAGGCAGGGCGAGGGGCTGCGGAGGGAGGGGAGTCCCGGCAGCGACACAGCTTCCTGTGGCGACCGCACCCATGGGGACACGGCGGCCGCGGCGCGAGGAACAGCGCTGACGAGGTGTTAGCAGGCAGCCCAGGTGCGCGGGACGGTCAGGCTACGCTCGTGAGGGCCTCCCCTGCCCTCCCCCAGGTACATTCGCCCCAAATTTCTAAATAACGTGCATGTTTCAAGTGACACCACTTGATGGTGTCAGCAGGTCCCGCAGGCGGGGAGTCAGGGTTCAGCCCAAGCCCCCATGAGCTCCTGGAGCAGCTGCGGACAGGCCTGTCCTTGGCCGACGCCCGCTGGACCCTCAGCACATCCCTCCCTCGCGTGGTCCCTCCCTAAACCCAGCAAAGCCAGAGCCTCCTCACTCCGGCCGGGCCAGGACAGCCGGAGGCCTGCGGGGCACCGGGCTACTTGCTGGGGAAAGACGTGCCTTGCTCTTTGCGGATGTGAGCAAACGGAGAAGGGCCGGCTGGCTTCTCCAGCATCTCGTGTGCGGGGCCTGGACCTTCCACAGCCGAGCTCTAGGCCCAGAGCTGGCGAAGGTGCCCCGAGGCAAGCTGCCTCCCGCAGCCAGGGACCGGCCCCAGGGCAGGCGGGGGAGGAGGGAGCTGGGCCGCGGCCAGCAGGCGCGGGTGGGCCGGGCTCAGCGGCAGTAAGGACACACGGAGGGGCTGGGGCCGCCACAACGCGGGAGGGACAGAGAGCGCTGGGGCCCTGGCCCACAGGCACAGGAGGTCTGGACTCGGAGCCACAGAGCGGGCATCCTGACCCTCATGCTGAGGGCCAAGGGTGGGCAGCGGCCACGTCCCAGGACTGTGGGGGCCCTGCAGGAGCCTGAGTCGGACACCGGAGGAGCTGCCCGCCCCACGGAGCTTGTGCGCCCGGCCTCTCCTCTTCGTCCTCACCTGTGTGCTCCTCACCTGTCACCTGGAAAAAGCCCCTGCCTGAGCCCAGGGGGTCTCAGCCTTGCCCAGGGCCACAGCCCCACCGTGCCAAGGCCCCCACGCCTGCCCTGCAGCTGGTCCTGAGCTTGGGCCTCACCTTCCCCCTCCCGGGCTCTGATATGCCACAACTGTTCTGGGTGCAGGAGACGCGGTGTCCAAAGCGTGTGCTGCCACCCTCTGTGCCCCGCTGGGGGGCGGGGGGGGGCGCAAAGCCTCGCTGTCTTCCCGTGTGGGCTCTAACAGCAGGACTGGTGCTAGGAGACAGACAAGGCCCTTCCCCAGGGGGCTCTGCTCCGCCCCATCTGGCACCTGTGGCCTGGGAGCCGTGGGGGAGGCAGCCTCATGCACTGACCTCTGCCCCGAGCACGGCTAGCCCAGCGCCCTCACCGCTCCAGGGCACCCCGACCCCTGCTTTGTCCCGAGCAGTTGGCCGTCCCCTGGCACATCCCCCCAGGCCGCGAGCTCTGCCTCCACTCGGCACCCCCCGCACCCCCCGCCTGCTTGTCCGCGGCCAGCAATGCACAAACGCTCTCCTGTGTCGGAGAAAGGCCGCGCAAGTCTGCCAGCAGGTCCGAAGCTGTGGGATGCACGTGGGGACCAGAGGTGGGAGGAGCTGGAGGTCAGGTTAGCAACTCTGGTGGGACAGGTGACCACCCAGGTGACGTGTGGGGGACCCGGCAAGGCGCTCGCTGTCAGCAGGTGGTGTCCCCACCCTCCCTTCTGCCTTCAGCTCTGCATCTCAGATGTCAATCCACTAGGGAGAGATCGAGCCAGACACCACGTTCTAAATCCAAGATGAGGACGTCCCTGGCCCGCAAGAGGCTGTGTGTCACGCTCACATATCCTCCGGCGGACGGTCAGCGTGCACAGAGGACACGCGGGTGACGGCAGTGGCAGGGGCTCACAGGGGCGGGAAGGAGAGAGCTGAGCTCCCCAAGTCTAGATAAGGAGGGGAGCGTGAGGATGGGGCCGGAGACGGCTCTGTGGCCTCGCCGCGTGGCAGGGGTGTGGACGATGCGCCCTGAGAGGCGAGAGGAAGGTGAAGAGGCCATGTGCTGCGGCCGGAGCCCCGCAGGGAAGGCGCCTGCAGACAGCCGCCGAGGCACATCCTCCTGGCATCTCCGCTCACCGTTCTCTCGGCGACATCCACGCCGTGTCCTGGGGACAACTCGGTCAGCACGTCAGTTTGGGTTCCCTCTCGTTCACCACGACTGCGAGCTCCTGGCTCTGCCCTCAGGCGCTGGGGATGCAAAATGGAAGAAGAGGCGCCTCGAGGCCACCGGAGCACAGGCCGCCTGCCCGCCTGCCCGGCAACGGGGGTGGGCGCAGGTGAGAGAGAGCGTCCTGCCTGCGCGTCCCCACCCAGCGGCGTCCCCACCCAGCGGCGGGAGGGAAGGGCAGGGAGGTGCTCTGAGAGATGAAGGCCACCGGGCCGGGCCGCAGCACTTGTCGTCGGTTCACAGCAGACCGGACGCCACTCCCTCCCTCCCACAGAGAGCGCACCGGTCGTCACGGGGGCCCCAGGCGGCCCCTCTGCGGTAAGGACGCTGGTCGAACTGCTCGGCTGCTGAAGCCCATCCTGACGGGACACTCCACTCACGGCGCCCCCCGGGGAGCCCTGTAAGGGTCGGATCTTCCAGTCCCGGGTTCTCGGAAACGGGCCATACAGGAACCAAAACATACTTTAAAAGTCAAAGTGACAGCTTGGCTTTGCAAATAGCACGTATTCACGTGGTCTCTCAGAGAACGATGAGGCAGGGTATAAATCACCCTGATCTTTGAAAACTGTCAAAGCGTTTAATACAAAAATCTAAAAAAATTCCAAAAAATATCAATTAACTCCTCTGATTGTAAATGACCTTTATTAAAGCAAGCATATGCTTAGGATTCAAAACAAGTATTTTAAAAGAATAACATACGTGAGACAAACTGACGTGAGTGTTTTATTTAAGATTATTGTAATAAAAACAAACAGGCATTTGAAAGATATTTGTTATTTTAGAAAACAGACAGTAAGGACTAAAAGTAACTTCCCAAACTCACCGCCAGAATTAAAACTTCACATCACAGAAATGTTTGATAACAAATATCGGCCAACAGATTACAACACAAAAGTTGAATAAATAAATAAACCTTTCTGATTTTTTTTTTACCAAAAAATCATGAACTGATGAAATAACAATAGAAAATGAACATTAATTTCAGGAAAAAAAGGCACATCCAGGCAAAACCGTCAAGGCGATCCGCAAAACGCAGCGTCCTACGTACACGGCGCGTGACCGACGACACAACGTGTTACTCTGGACGGCCCGAAAGCACGGCGGGAGGCCGGCCCGCCCGGCAGACGGGGAGCCCCCTCCACGGAGTGCTCGGTCCCCGAGGCGAAGGGCTCCCAGGATGGGTGGCCACACACAGGTCTCCCTTCCGAAGCTGTGCGTCCCCATTGCTCCCGTCACAGACTCGACCGTCTCTCCGGCCGAGGCACACACCTGGTGATGGCGGCTCGCCACAGCACCGGGGCCAGCAAGAGGCTGAGTGTGGTCACGCTCAGGACGAGAAGGTACACCTACAAAAGGCAAGGCTGTCGGCGGCCACGCGCAGGACTAGGAGGTGCCCCGCACACCCCACAGAGCCAGGGCCGCGTGCACACGTGGACGGAGCAGCAGGGAGCCCTAGTGCGCTGATGGGGAACGGAGCCCACGGGCTCAGGCCGCCAGCGAAGTGAGCACGCGGCCTCTGGGCAGGTCTAGGACAGAGCCCGGGCGCGGATGTTGTTCCTCAGCCCTTGCTTCTTCAAAACCAAGCCCCATCCCATCTCCCTGACACGCGTGGGGACAAGGGGACAAGCATGGAGGTCTGAACACTTACAGCGCGTCCCAGGCACCCGGAGGAGCTTTTGTACTCCTTTGGCCTAAATCAGGGCGCGGGTGTGCAGAGTCAGCTACTGGAGGCAGCTGGTGGCGGGGGGAAGGGGGGGGCTCAGGGGCAACAGGGTGCCCACGGGAAGTAGGCTCGCTGTAAGGGGGCGGCAGGCAAACGCCCGCCCCGGTTCAAGGCCCCACCCGACAGGCTCACACAGGTGTGCACAGAAAGGGCAAAACTAAAGTCAGGTGCAGTAGGGGGCTGGGGTCCTGCAAGGTTTGAGTGAACTACTGAGTAGGAGCTGCCATCCGTGAGCCTGGACGTCCACAATCCCCAATCTGAGAGTGGCCCATCCCTCAGCTAGAACCGTGGGCCTGGTGAACGGGTCCCCATGGTTCCGAGCGCGTGGGGGAAGCGTGTGCGGTCTCCTGGCTGCTCCTACACCGTGACCCGACACTCATCCATTCATCTACGGCAGAATCCCTTCAACGTGCACCCTGCTTCCACCGGAACAGCGGCGTCACCGGTCCTCAGATCACTCGGGGCTCACGCGGGCCCTGCTCTAAAGGACGTTCACTCTTACCACGGTGGACGGCAGACTGTGACCCACTGACCCTGGGGTGGGGGCCACAGCCCACAGGCCCCAGCCAAGCACAAACGTCCTGCTTGCCAAATTTAAAGTGACAACCTGGGGTCATCAGACGGTATTTATCAAGTTCTAACTCACGGCCAGTTTTCCAAGGGCAAATGAACGAGACTGGAGAGGACGACAAGGCAAGTGCACCGCAGCAGGTGGGCGTGCGCCCAGCCGGCCGGCGAGAAGGCCAGGCCCAGGAGGAACGGACCAGAGACAAGGGGGAAGGAGGCAAATGGGGGGTGGGGGGCTCGCCTTCCAGGCACCACGAGGGGGCTCAGCGCCCTGCACACTTCAAACTGTGGTGGGGGAAGGAGGGAGCTGATCAAAGACACCCCAAGCTTTGGGATATATTGATACATAGGAAAAACCTCCGAGTATTTTATACATAGGAAGTTTCTCATCATTTCTATTGAAGTTTTCATTCCAACTCTCTAAAACTTGGAGACACGGTGTCTTCAGAAGCACCTCTCACAGCAACCCAAACCCTTTGACAGAGGCAAGTGTTGCGTCGTATTTTGTGAAAAAACCCAAAACAAACCAGGGACTTTCGCGTAACAGCGTTCTAGGTCTGCCTTTTCAGCAGTCTCCAGGTTCGGACCCGAGTTCTCCGACGTGGTCCCGGGAAGGCCGGGGCTCTTGGCTGGGCTGACGGCCATGCAGGAGCTAGCGGGGAGCTTTCAGACTCGGTGTTTCTCTTTTCGCCAGAGATACCACGGGGCCGGGGCAGCGGCCACAACGAGTCAGCCCTCCACGCCAGGGCAGAGGCGGTACGCCGGCCCCACGCCAGTGGCGGGCAGGGTGCTCAGACACCAGGGTGGGGTGTGTGGGCCGGGGCTCCCCAAACACACACAGAACGGGGAGCAGACTCACCTCCCGAGAAATGATGCCCGCTCTGCGCGCTCTGCTCCCCAGCACGAAGGAGAGCTCACTGACCTGCGCCAGCCCCGCGGCCACGATCCACTTGACGTACTGACTGCTCTTCGGCAGGAGGAGAGACAAGACCAGAGCTGCCAGGGCAAACTGCCGGGATGTCTGTGTCACTGCCTCGGCCGAGCAGAAACCAGACGGGAGCCCTCGCCTGACACACTGGGGACTCGTGCAGAAGAGCCCAAGGGACAGAGAGTGGCTGACAGAGACCACGCCAAGTAACACCAAGGTTCAGGCTCATTAGCAGACAGCTGGGTTCCCCCAAACGAAGTCAACAGCAGTAGACACTGGGCAGCCCTCAAGGACACCTGACTTCCCAAGGACAGCACCGTATCTCTGTCACGTGAGCAAAGTCTAGAGGCGAGCAGCCCGGAACCCGTGGGGCGAGTGCCGCAATCGCCTGGGACTCAGGCTCCTTCACGTCAGGGGCGCCTGGGCGGCTGTCGGTTCAGTGTCCGACTCTTGATCTGGGCTCGGGTCCTGATCTTGGGGTCGTGAGATCAAGCCCCCGTGGGGCCCCATGCTGGGCAGAGTCTGCTGCGTGAGATTCTCCCCCTCTCCTTCTGCACCTCCCACCCCAGTTCACAGAAATCGGTATCTTCAGTCAACGTCTATACTCTACAGAGCCAGACAGCCACTGGACAGGTCCCGGGACCCCGAAATGAATGTTAACGTGGCAACTGGAGAGTCTCCTGTCACGGGGCACCGGCAGCCGGGAGGGAATCCTCAGCGGCTGCTAAACGGGACATTCGGGGGGTGCCTGGACAGGCTTGGGAGGCCCCCGCCCTGCCCCAGGGCCCTGCCCACGGCACCTCTTCTAGCTGGCTGTTCCTGAGTTATATCCTCCTACAATAAGCCACCGACTTAGTGGGCAAAAATTTTATAATAATTTGAAAACACAGCAACAGTGAGATGTATGCTCGGGAAGAACATCCGAGGCCTGGGGCCTCCCGGGACGTCCACAAGTCACTTTCCTGGCTCCGCTCTCGTGACTCCCCATTTCAAACATACCCGATTCTGAGGCAAATGAAGGAAAACAAACCCCAAGGCCCTGGTCCTCCCCTGCCCGGTGCCCAGACTGCTGGGAGGCAGGAGGGGCTCTGGGTAAGCGGCCTTGTTGGAGCTTTGCAGACTCCGTGTCACTGCGGGTAGGAAGTTAGGCTCTGTGCCCCATAAATAAAAAATGACGGGTGCTGTGCCAGCCGCGAAGCACCGAGGAGACTCCATACCTTCACGATCACCACCGACAGCGTGAGGACCATCAGGACGGTGAGCTCGTACACCACGAAGGTGGGGAACACGTGCAGGCCTATGAGGGAAAGGACAGACACGGTCACTCTTGCGGGTTACCACCGGCCTCATCCTCCAGTCACGAGACCGTGATGCTCAGGCTTCCTTTTTCCTCGACCCGGACAAAGTCACCTGGTGAGTGTGACCCCACAGGGCCCCGCACGCGTGGCTCGCGCTGCTGGCGGCCCTGGAGCTGGCTGGCCACCGGGACAGCGGCCCAGGTGCTGAGGGCTATCCTCCAGCAGACCTCACCCCCAGCACTTGGCAAATGGCACAGCAGGCAGCGGCCGAGTCACTTTCCTTTGTGAAAACACTCCATGCGAGGCGCAGACACTTCCAGGGCCTGGCCACTCGCAGCCCCTCGCCGCCCTGACAACGCCCGAGAACAGCTTTCCCGCCGCGGCTATGCCTGCTGGGAGGCTCTGCGTGCTGGGGAGCCCCTCCTCACTGGGTGGCCGGCCCCACAACCCTGAGGGTGGCACCTGGAGCTCATGTCGGAGCAGGAACACGCGCGGCCCCTCAGCAGCCTGCGTCTACCCGTCTGACTCAGAAACACAAACCCAAGAAGACAGCCTTCTGGCCCTGGAATGCAGACGCGTCCACCCTTGACGGCCCTGTTGCTCCACGGGGGCGGCTGACAAGCACCTGCCCCACCTCCTTCCCGGCAAAGTCCCTCTTCCCGGGTCTGCCTCAAGTTCCTCCCCAACCTGCGGTGCTCCCTGAGCACCCCCCACGGCCCAAGGCACACCCGGCAGGGCAGGAGCTGATTCCGGGGTCTTCAGCCCGCTGGCACGACAGGTGTGGACCAGCTCTGGCTACACCTGTGCTCCTCCAACTCGTCACGGCGTCACCCGCAGTAGGAAGTGACCAGCGTGAGCACTCTTGTGCCCGCATCTCCGACCAGGCCCGCAGGCATGGCCCAGATTGGGGAGCGGGGCCCTGCCCACCCATCTCCCACCAGGCACCCTAATGCTTGTGTTGCTGACTTGCCTCAAGGTTCAGGGGCCTCCCTAGCCCAAGGGTAAGTGTGCGCTGGGCCCAGGCACACAGGCCAGACGGCAGAGGCTCTCCACTCCGGTGGACACTGCTCACTCACGACCTCCATGCCATGAGCAGGGCGCCACGTATGCAAGGCTTGGAGACAGAGACAAAGTCTGTGCTGAGGCATGCGGCCACCAGTCCTCCGGCTTACGGCCATTCACTCATTCGTCCTCTCAACAGATACCACCCATGCTCCTGGGACAGCACAAGGGGCACAGGCTCTGCACGCCCACGCCAGGGCCACCGCCAACAAAGCATGGACCCTGGTGGGCCTCCCGACCTCTCTGCAGACGTGAACTTCAGGACAAACAAGCAAACACAGCACGGGAACCAGAACGCGGCACGCAGTCTGTCCGTCAACACTAGCCCCACGTTCACCTCGAGCGCGCACTAGGCCCGCCGATGTCGGGGGGAGCCGTCCCACCCCACTGGGGCCCACAGCGGCCTCCAGGGCGCCTCCAAGAATGAGGAGGGGCCGTGCCCACTTCTGAATTCCTCTCTGTGTCCCAGGGAGGGGATCCGAGAGGATGAAATCCTCAGTGAAAAGTCTGTAACAAGAAACATGTAAAAAAACAAAAGGACACCCAGGTGGTTCAGTTGGTTGGGCATCTGCCTTCAGCTCGGGTCATGATCCTGGGGTCGTGGGATCGAGTGCCGCATCAGGCTCCCTGCTCCACGGGGAGTCTGCTTCTCCCTCTGACCTTCTCCTCTCTCATGCTCGCTCTCACTGTCTCTGTCTCAACAAATAAAACCTTAAAAAAAAAAAACAAACACGTCACAGGCTTCATCCATAAGATGAGAAGTGACGGGGACTCATCACCGTGGTTGTGCAGGGTGGTAGAGGGCCACAGGGGCCTGGTCACCTCCACTCCATTCTGCCTCTAGAGCTGCCCTGACCAAGCTGCTCCAGTTCACATGCGGAGGCCACAAGCCCATGTGACTGCATCCGGAGATGGCTTCCGGGGGTACTAAGGGTGACAAGAGGTCACAGGGTGGCTGCCTGAGCCGGCCAGACTAGTGTCCTCGTAAGAGAAGGGGACACGGGAGTCCTCTCCTGCATCCCTTCCTTTGTCTCCATGTGTCCATCTCTCGATCTTGGTGTCTGTCCCCGAGCACACTGTGTCCCAGGAAAGGACACATGGGGACCCAGCAAGCAGACAGCCACCTGCAGACCAGGAAGAGGCCCCCTCAGCTCCACGGTCGGCCGGACGCTGGCCTGCGTTTGGGCAGCCAGAGCCATGGCTCAAATACTCATCAATACAACATGAACGAAGACGCCTGGGGGGCTCAGCTGGGGAAGCGTCTGCCTTCGGCTCAGGTCTCGGGGTCCCGGGATCGAGCTCCGTGTCCGACTCCCTGATCACTGTGAAGCCTGCTTCTCCCTCTCCCCCTGCTCGTGCTCTCAAATAAAAAGAGTCTTTAAAACAAGACAGCACAAAGGAATGGGTCCGGTGGGGTCTCAGTGACACGGGGCTCACAAAGTCAGGTGCCAGCTGCGCCGTGATGAGGAGCAGAGCCAGCGACACCTAGAGCAAGAGGGACACGGGAGCTGAGTCCGCACTGCGTCCCCACCACACGTGCCTGGGGCCCTCCTGCCCTCTGAGGGTCCCGCCATCTGCACTGAACCCCCTCCCCGAGCAGCTGCTGCCTCGGCATTCAGCCCCCGGGGGGGGGGCCCTCATTCACTCCAGACCCCAAACTGCCCTTTGCTGGTCACACTGGTCTCACTGCTCAGAGCTTGGTCAGGGCCCTCGTGCCCCTGTTGTGGTTCTGGGACCCCAGGGTCACTTGCCCTGCCCAGGACTGACTGTGGCCCGTGGGCCCTCCAGTCCTATGGCCCCGCAGGGCCTGACGCACGGCAGGGGTCAGGGACCGGGTTCGTGTGCACGTCACTGAGGCATCGTCCCAAACAGAACACTTCTGTGTCGCTTAGAACCCTAAAGAGAAAAGCTCAGCCCGGAGCGGCGGGAGGGTACACACACTTCCGGCTGAACGCGATGGATCAAAGCAGAAACACGCAGCGCCGTCTCGTCGTGGGGCACCCGCGATCTCTGCAGGTCAAGAACCCTAACGTGAGGAAGAGCCGAGCGCGCCGGTCGGAGCGCGTCGGCAGGTTTTCTCATCTAGCTGGCACACGCTGCCGCAGCCCCCAGCCAGGACGCGAGCCACGCGGGCGTCCTTGCGATGCAGCCCTGGGGGAGGGTGGCCCAGGACTTAGTCAGAGGGAGCTGGCACCTGTCGGCCTCATGGGTCCTCGCCTGGAGAAGCAGCGGTCGGAAGGGGGAGAGCAGGATGAGGGGACCTGGGGGGCAGGAGGGACAGAGACACACAGACCCAGACACAAGGACAGAGGACAAGGGACGGGACGGGGACGCACGGGAAAGGGGGCAGCGTGAGGGGCACGTGTGGGCGAGAAGGTTCTCTCGGAACACCACGGACACCCGTCCCTAAAGCAGCCGCGAAGGGTCTCCTCTGGCCTGGTGACAGGCGGTCTCCCACCCTGCACCCCACTCTCAGGACCGGCCGCCCGCGCTCTTTGAGGTTCTGGGTCTCGCTGGGGCGGCCCTGAGCCCGTCAGCGGGTGCAGGCGTGGTGCAGGAGCTTCCTGGCTGGAAGGCGGCCGCTGCATGGTCACCCCAGGTGAAGAAACGCCCGACAAAGGGGCACTGGCAGAGCAGCGACCTCCACAGGGCAGATGAGTTTTCTGGCATCGAAGTTAATCTTCCTTCCCAAATGTCCTGTTTTGGTGCTGACTTTACGCTGCTAACCTGCTGGGCACCTGTGCCTTTCCCACGGAGTCGAAGGTGGGGTCGTCCTCCCCGAGGGCATCTGAGTACCCCTGGAGCACGGCCGCTGATCAACAAGTTAACGTTCCTGAGTGCAAATGCCCCCTTTTTATTAAGATCTCTCTGCAGGGGGCGCCTGGGTGGCTCCGTGGGTTAAGCCTCTGCCTTCAGCTCAGGTCATGATCCCAGGGTCCTGGGATCGAGCCCCGCGTCGGGCTCTCTGCTCAGCAGGGAGCCTGCTTCCTCCTCTCTCTCTGCCTGCCTCTCTGCCTGCTTGTGATCTCTGTCTGTCAAATAAATACATAAAATCTTTAAAAAAAAAAAAAAAAGGATCTCTCTGCAGACCCCAGCTGCCCTGGAGCTGTTCTGGCCGCACAGACAGAAACACGTGAGTAGGTCGCACAAGTCTCACAGCCACCATGTGACTGTCCCGGGGGGACAAGGGCAGTTACCTATGGACGCGAAGAAGATGATAACCAGGAAGTCACGGATGGGCTCAATGTAAGCCACGACCTCCTCGGTGACCATGTGGCCTTGGGAAGAGATGAGCGCGCCGGCCAGGAAGCAGCCCAGCTCCATGGAGACGTCCAGCAGCTCCGTGACCTGGGGGAGACGGAAGGGCCACATGTCACTCATAGCCAGGGGTGGGTTCACACCCAAAGGCTGGTGTGTCGTCACAACAAAGGCTCATCTTTAAGTCCCCAGAGGGGCCTCTGTGGGGACGAGCAGAGACACGTGCAGCAAGTGAAGGTGAGTTGAATCTGCCATGTAGGGAAAAAAAATTAAAATTTGAAATAATCATTCAAATTTTTTGAATGACAACATTTTTGAAAATTTATTTTAAATATTTGTGACAGATTCTCTTTATCCTGACTCAGTGACTACCCAACTACGCCAAGAAAACACGTTCACGTAAACCGTCCCGTCTCCAGCCAAGGGCACGTCGAAGGCAGTGTGACCAGCGAAGCCCGAGGGCACAGGACCCCAGACGGGGACGCCCGCATGTCCAGCGGCCGGGTCGCCGCCCAGGTCCAGGCTCCAGGGCTCCTGGCCACGGCCGTTAAACACAAAGCTTCGGGTGCGCTCCTCCGCGAGGCGATCCCGACGCAGGACAGCCTGAAAGCCGCTGCCGTGTCTTCCTCTGCGGAAGTGAAGCCACACACAGAGGCCAGCAGCCGCCAGAGAGGGCGGGAGAGAAACTCGCTCCGCAACCGCGCCGGGACGAGCCCCACCACAGAACGCACGACCCTCACACCAAACACCAAGGAGCCCCGCTGAGAAACGCAGGCGGGAGCGGCCGCACACGGTACGCTCACGGGCCACGGATCGCAGGCCGGCACCCGGGCTCTCCCTGCGCCCGCGCCCCTGCAGAGGCGGCTCACGCCGAGTGGACTCCGGGACCTCGCGGCTGCTGGAGAGCCCGAGGGCCTGGGGAGCCGGGCAGCAGGCGGCGGCAAGTGGAGAGTCAGGCCTGCACACTTGTGCTCACACACTCACACGCACCTGTCCTTTCACACGAGCACACGTACAACCACACACTCGTACACACGTGTGCCCACTCTCATGCCCTTGTGCTCACTCACACAAGCACGCGCACACCCACGCACCCACACCCACACACTCAACGCCTCTTGGCTTCTGACAAGGTGACCTGCGCCCCAGCGCCACGTGGAGAGCCACACGCGGCACCAGACGTCACGCACGGCCCCGTGCACCGCGCTCTCCCGGCCCCCCGACGGCCGCGGCTCTCAGGCGAGCAGCAGAGCAGGTCATCCTGCGGGAGACTCGGCCTCCGACCCGGGGAAGACACAACCTGGCGGGGCCGCGGAGCGCCATCCGGCCGCAACCTGGAACTTGGAGCGCAGGAAAATCAAGAACTTCCGTTTATTAAAAACGCTATGAAGAGAGCGGAAAGGACAGTCACGGGTGAGAAGATACTAAGCAAACATATGGGACACAGAATTTCGGCCATAAAGGGAGCGGAGCGCAGAAACCCAGGCGCCCCCTCAGAGCAGGGACGCAGGGGCGAGTCCGCGCACGCAGAACGCAGGAGCGCAGTCACCGTGCCACGGGGGGACGGGCGAGCCGGGGGCAGTGGGGGTTTTGGGGAGCAATGACAGAAATGTTCAGACAACGCTGACCGTTGCACGGTGCTGTGAACGTGCTGAAAACCACAGACTTGTACGCTTCCATTAAAAGGGCTAAAATGGCTGATTTTGTTATACATATTTTTAGTAAAAAGAAGCAAAGACAAAAAATTTCCCAGAATATGTTAAAAATTCCCGCAAATGAGTAAGAGAAACAGCCAATGCAACAGGAAACGACCCGAGACTTCTGACGGGCCGGCCCCAAGGAGGGTGTCCACGCAGCTCAGGAGGGACGTGGAGTCAAAGCCTTGAGGAAACACCGCATGGGTGCAGGGGAGGGTGCAGAGACCCTGACCGCTCCTCGGCGCGGGGGTGGACATAGCGCGTCCCTGGCTGCCTGGCGCCCACCTCAGCACCAGCAAGCCGACGCCCACGCGCCCAGCCGGGAGCACGCCAAGGGGGGCCGTGAACGGGAACCAAGCCTAAGAGCCAACGACAGACGACGGGCTGTGTCACACTCTCTCAGCGCCACGAGGGTGCCTGAGCTGTAAGACCGTCTCGGGAGCAAGCCGGCCGGCACCTGACGCGCATGGGGACCCGAGCAGCTTCTCGGGAGGAAACCAGCTGAACCTGTGCAGCCGCTGGGACGACAGACGGACGTCATCCGGGCAACTCAGCTTTGCCGGACGTCATTGTCAAGAAAAATTCTCCAGAATGAACAAAGCAACGTAAGAAAAATGAAAAACGTCACACACGTGAGCAGCTTCGAGCAGAAGCGAATCTTAGACTTCTGCCAAGATTATAAAATAGTGGTAGACGACTAAATCATACACAAGGAATCAGTTTTTGTTAAAATCCTTTAAATTAAAATTAACCTTTTAGTTCTGAGGGAAGTGTCGATTCACCTGCAGTGTGAGAAACCATCCGAGGAGATCGCACACACCCCTTGCTCGGCCCCCCCAGTGGTGGCGTCTTCCTAAGCAGGGCGCGAGATCACAGCCAGGCTACGGACGCAGCACGGTGCTGACACGCGCAAGGGTCCGTGACAAGGATCCTTCCCCCACCCTCTCCTCACCGCCTGGCAACCAGCAAGCTTCCCTCCATTTCTGAAGTTCTATCATCGTAAACGTCACATGAATGGAATTACACAGTACGTGACCTCAGGACTGGCTTTTCCTGCTCAGGATCCTTCCCTGGAGAGTCACGCCCCAGCTGTTTCAGACCTGGGCGGTCCTCTTGGTGCAGACGGACCACAGCTGGTGGAACCGGGCACCTGCTGAAGGACCGGGGGCTCTGGCTGCTGTGAGACAGCCGCTGCGCACATTCCCAGCTGAGCTTCTGGTGAACCGGTGAGGAGAGCAGCTGTGGGGCTGCAGGCGACTCCAGCGCCGTGGACTGTTTGTGGGGCTCTGACCGCCTCTCCCCCGTTCTCTCACTAGGAGTGTGTCCTTTAAATAAGAAGCCTGCTTCTAAAATGAACCTCCCATTTTCTTTTTCAAATTTTCACATTATGGCACAAGAAGTTACACTGCTGACCAGCTTTGTCATCACCGGACAGGACCAAAAACTGTTCTACACGGTTAATCCGGTTGCGGACACAGAGCTATCCGAAAGTCTGGGGCAGTGTAGCGCGGGTGACGCCGGCAGTCCACGCGGCTCTCGCAGCCAGGCAGACCTCCTGCGGTCCCACACCCGAGGAGCCCTTTCCACCAAGTGCCTAACGAATGGGGGCACCTGGGACGCTCAGTCTGCTGCTCAGGTCACGATCTCAGGGTCCTGGGATCGAGTCCCACGTCAGGCTCCCTGCTCAGCGGGGAACCTGCTTCTCCCTCTGCTCCTCCCCGACTCATTCTCTCTCAAAAATAAAATCTTGAAAAGTATGGGAACAAACAGGTTCAGCTTGTTGTATTAATACTGAGGGGGGAGAGTAATGACTGTGCATAAAATAAAAATACGACCACGTGTTTCAAATATTTCAACTACCTTAAATTAAAAAGATAAAGAACTGATCATAAGCTTTCAAGTCAGTATGTAAGTAACAGGTATTTTGAGAATTACCATTAACATTAAAAAGATGAAAGCAGAGATTCCTAAGATAAGGATTTCTTTGTTCCCTTTGCCTTCCACATGCAGTTTCCGATAATATGGTCCAATGAGGTAAGTCTTTACAACAAGACACAGAAGGAAGGCGGCAGCCAGCGAGAAGAGGCTCTGGCCGACCAAAGCCAGGATCCGCAGAGTCTCCATGACAGCGCTAGGAGAGAAGAAAGGGGAGTTACTTCACCTCCAGAGCACCCTTCCCTGACACCCAATAAAACGGGCTTCCACTCGTTTTTCCCTGACGTCACAAAATAAATTTCCCAAATCATTTTTATTTCCAAATACTAAAAACATATCGATCACATTAATTCTAAACAACTTGGTTCAAACTAATTCCTTGACTCTAATATGCAAGCTCAACTGTTTTGCCATCAACTTTGAAGCAAATCCGTGTTATGGGGCATGAGGACTCCTGACCGCAGCTCACGGCTCAGTGACTGGGACAGAACTCCTCACCCGGAACTAACCCCCACTCGAAATTCCTCCCGAGGCAACCGTCACCCTGCAGGCTCAGCACTCGAGGTCCAGCCACACGACCCCAGAGACCTGCCACCAAACAGCCCCTCGTGGCCAAGCCAGAACCCCGAATTTCCTGTGGGTTACTTCGTCTCAGAGAACAGGATTTGGGGCTGAGCTCCTATTAGAATACGCTATTTACTTCTCGGAAAGTATTCTAGATCTCAGTCAAAAAACTCACAGAGGAAAGGCACTACTGCGTGTTTATTTTTACAAGGAGTCTGCGTATTTTTTACTTAATTTATTTTTGGAAACTTAGTTCATCATATTTACGAAATGATTTAGTCTAAAATTCTGGTTTCAAAGTTCTCAGTGGAAGAACACTGATCTGATTACTAGGTGAGAATTCATCGCTGTAGTCAAAGCTTAAACTAGCAGCAACGGGCACGAACGTCAAGTCACACACGACAGATCACGTGGGGGAAGGAGACCCAGCAGGGCTCGAGCGCCCTCCCAGTGGAAGGCTCCTCACCGGTTCCCCACGAGGGAGGCCAGCATATGGACCTGGGGACTGAGTCTTGGCAGGCCTGCACATAATACACATTTTGTTTTCAAGTGACTTGGGAGCACGTACCACAGACCATATCTGAGTCCACAAGATAAACACCTCAACAAACTTAGGAGAGTTAAAATCATACAAAGACTGTTCCGTGGCCACAGTGGAATCAAACTAGAAATCAGTAAGACAAAGAGAACAGGAAAATCTCCATGAACACATGGAAATTACACATCAGACTTCTAAATAATCCACAGGTAGAAGAGGAAGCGTCAAAGGAAATGTTTTACAGTAACTGAGCTGAATGAAGATAAAAATGCAATATATCACAATAAAAGAAACGCAGCTAAGACACAGCTGCAAGGAAAATTTGTAGCACTCAGTATAGTAGAAAAGAAAAAAGGCTTCAAATCAATAACCTATGTTCACAGCACAAGAACCTAGAAAAATATAAGAGCAAAATAAACCCAAAGTGAAGGAAAAAAAAACAAAAGGAAAGGAGGAAAGGAACAAAATATGTAAAAAAAGGAGGGGGGTGGAAACCAACGAAATTAAAAACAGAAAAACAAAGAGGGAAAACCAGTGAAACAAAGAGGTGGTAATCTGAAGAGACTAATAAAACTGCCAAACCTCTAGAAAGACTGACCAAGAAAAAGAGAAGATGGGGAGCAAAACAGATCCTACAGACACCAAATGGATGATAAAGGAACCTACAAACAATTCTACACAAACAAACTTGACAAATGACACGGAACGGACCAACTCTTTGAGAAACCAAGCTATCACAACCCAACCACATGCAACAGATGATGTGAACAGCCTCCACTAAGCACACTGAATGATCTGAACAGGACCACTAAGCAAACTAAATTTGTAATTTAAGAAAAATCCCCCAAAAGAAATCTCAAGACAGGTTTCACCAGAGAATTCTACCAAATATCTAAGGAAGAATTAACAGCAGTTTTATACAATGTTTTCCAGAAAACAGAGAGAGAAGGAACATGTCCCCAATCGTTTTATGAAGCTAGTATTACCCTAATACCAAAACTAGAAAAGATTACACACCAATCTCGCTCGTGAACTCAGACGTAAAGATTCTCAACACAATACCAGCTAACTGTGTAAAACGCACGGAGAGATCACAGACCACAACCCCAAGACGGGACTCATCCTCGGTGCTCACGGCCGGTCTGACGTTCCCAAGTCAATCCACACAACCCGCGGACTCAGCGGCCCGAAGGAGGAAACCATGTGATCGCGTGGAGAGAGGCGGGGAAAGCACCGGACGAAATCAAGCGCCAACAGCAAAAACTCTCCGCAAACTTAGAAGGGAACTTCCTTAACCGATGAAGAACCCCTACAAAACCCCCAGAGTTAGCGTCCCACTTCCCGCGAAGGAGAAGGAGCGGATGCTTCCCCCGCCACGAGGAGGGCAGGAACGCACGCTCACGTGCTGCTCACCAGGGCCCGGGCGCCGCGGCCTAGCGCAGCACCAAGCGATGAGAGGCTCCCCGATGAGAAAGGAGCCAATGAGGGACCGGAGTCAGCACTTCAAGGGGCTCCGCACACTCTCCCAGTGATTCCCTTTCTGGAGGGTGTCCCGCGACGGGCTGTGCGCGCTGCAGAGCCTGCGACTTTCTGCATAAATTTATTCTCCCACTTTCCCATCTGACTTCTCTCTCCACGTGAACCTAAGCAAGTGCAGCTCAGGTTCTGGGACGATTTTACTGGCCGGAGGGAAAGAAGGACCAGGCGAAACGGTAACAGTGGAGACACTAACGACGAGAGCCCACAATGACGGCGTGCGCGCATGCATACGCACACGCACACTCAATCGCGCACACGGTCCCACACACAAATCCTTCATCCAGGCGGCCCCCACACCCCCCGTTCCGGCATTGTTGTAAGCGCTCTTCTCTTTTAACCCGTTTGCTCCTAACTACTCTGTCAGGGAGTGACTCCCCCCGCGCGTTCTAGACGACCAAACTGAGCAACAGCGGGGTTCGGTAGCTTGCCGGGGCGACCGACGCAGGGCCGGGCAGTGGGCAGCACAGCGGGGCGGCGCGCACCTGGAGTGGGAGCCGGCTCCGGCCTGGATGAGGGTGGGCATGCCGGCGATGAGCAGCCCCAGCTGCACGTCCTGCACCACGAGCATCCCGAGCAGCACCGCGCCATAGTCGACGTCACCTGCCGGACGGAAAGCCCATCGGTAGCACAGGGTTAGAGAGAGAAAGTGTCCCGAGTTGAAACACAAACATCGTGCAAATCTCCAAAATAATGCCGATACTTTCGACGCCTCACAGGATGCATGCAGACTTTAAAATCTCTTTGAGAGCAAACACGGAAACATCTTAAAAACTTTTTGTAAAGAAAAGCTCCAGTTTATATGAACTTTTACTTATATAATTACAGAAAAAACCGCCATCGTACAAAGAAGGCGTGGACACAAGAAGGTGACGGGCCCGGATGGCCAATTTCACTCTGCGTCCCCAGAGCACGGGAAGCAGCCTTCACGTCCAGCCTTTACTGCTCCCCGAAGCGATGCAGGGGACCGGGCCTCGCCCCTCCTGCTCACACCTCCAGCCCGCTGTCAGCACCACGTGGCCACCCGTCCCTGAGACAAACGCAGCTCTGCTAAGAACACCGGCTCACCAGGTGGGCGGACAGAAAGGCCGCAGCCAGGGCCTGAAGGGACTACGTCGCTCCTCTGCAAAGACGGTGGGACACGGGTACCATTTTCCCCAACCTAATGTGTCACATGGGCCCCTGACATCTCCATAGTCAACCAGCAGTTCTGGCTTTGGACCCCTCTTTGTCTCCTTTTTTTTATTTTTTTTTATTTTTTTATTTTTTTTTTTTTTTAAGATTTTATTTATTTATTTGACAGAGATCACAAGTAGGCAGAGAGGCAGGCAGAGAGAGAGGAAGGGAAGCAGGCTCCCTGCCGAGCAGAGAGCCCGATGCGGGACTCGATCCCAGGACCCTGTGACCATGACCTGAGCTGCAGACAGAGGCTTAACCCACTGAGCCACCCAAGCGCCCTTTAAAGATTTTATTTGTTTGAGAAAACAAGTGAGCAAGAAAGCACAAGTGGGGGGGCGGCAGGGGCAGAGGGAGAAGCAGGCTCCCTGCTGGACAGGAAGCCTGACGTGGGGCTCGATCCCAGGACCCCAGGACCAAAACCAGAGCCAAAGGAAGACGCGTAACTGGCTGAGCCACCCAGGCCGGGCAGCCCTGGGCCAATCTTTTAAAACGTGTTTCTAAGAACTCAACTGTCATGTTCTCCACCCCCACCCTCATAAAATAAGCTGTTCTTTTTCTTAAAAAAAAAAAAAAAAAAAAAAAAAAAAAAAAAAAACAAAACAAACCTACTCCTAAGAACAGATACTTAAAGGCCAATCTGATAAGAGTAACCTTACGGAAAGGAAGAAGGAACAAACCAAATAAAATAAAAATCCCTTAACAGCAGCAAAAGACACAGTTGATCCTTCCAGGAGGCTGCGTCTATTTCCCATGCAAAGTTCAATTTCTGGAGAACAGAGAGTCTCTTCTTAGGGTTTTACAGCATCCTGAATGGGTGACCCCTGCTTGTTCCTGTGTCCCTGAGGGTCGCACAGCTCAGTAGCAAGAACCCGTCCCTCACAACAAATATGGGAGGAGTGCGACTCCTTCAACAAACACCTAGGTGGGTCCACGAGCCCTCTCTCCTGACCTTGGGGAACCTGTTAGGTCCTGCGCGCGCAATAACAGGGCCGTCGTCCTCCCCAAGTCCTCACACGAGATAAGGGAGCTCCGCCCTGTGCCCATGCTGCTGCTGCTTCTTGACTTTGAGGAAATACAAAACCGCTAGTCACACCGTACTTTTCAGAAATCGTCTTTGATGACTCACCGCCAGCACTCTGTAGATGGTTTTTAAGTTCTGTTCTTTGCCTCTCACTGGTTCACAGTCCAAGGTCTTCATTCAGTGGGCACGAACACCACCAGGGGGCAGGCAACAAGGGACAGGGCGCAGGCCCCCGCACGCCTGTGCCCAGGACGCCCCTGCAGAGAAGGCCGGACGGGAGGGACACACGCCCGCTGCAGCGACTCGTGGGGAAGGCAAGTGGTGCGGTCACGACACGGACGGGATTACCCCGACTGAACTACTAAAAATTAGAGATGCCACTTTGAGTATTTCTTCATCTGTCTGCATTTTGCATTAAGTTAATTTCTGTTTATCGCTACGAGAGCATTTATTTTCTCTCCTGTTTCTATCGCTTTCATTAAATACTTTAAGTGTAAGGAAAACCAAAAACGTGAGGGATCCCACAGACCCATTACTGCGCGCGGCTACCCCGAAAACGTCTAAGAACTGGTTCAGGTGTTGGAGCAGAAGTAAGGTCCTGGAGACACTGCGGCGACTCCCAGCGAGCCCCGTGGGCAGCTGGGCCCCTGCTGCCCCCCCCAGTCAGCGCCTTAGTCCTCACGCGGATTGTTTCCTCGAGGGTTTTAACACCCGGGGGCCGGGAACAGCACTCGGTTGACTTTGCGACTGTAAACTACGTGACAGAGTCGCAGCTGCGGCAACTCGGTTCTCGTTTCTGCTCTCCGTTGTGTCCGAAAATTACCCACGGCTGACGCGTCAAGATTTTCTTAAAAACTGCTAGAGGGGGGCGCCTGGGTGGCTCAGTGGGTTAAGCCTCTGCCTTCGGCTCAGGTCATGATCCCAGGGTCCTGGGATGGAGCCCCGCATCGGGCTCTGTGCTCGAGGGGAACCTGCTTCCTCCTCTCTCTCTGCCTGCTGGTGATCTCTGTCAAATAAATAAACAAAATCTTTTAAAAAATAAATAAATAAAAATGAAACTGCTAGAGAGGGGTGCCTGGTGGCTCAGTCGTTAACCGCCTGGCTTCATGTTGGATCCTGGGTTCCTGGGATCGAGCCCCGCGTCGGGCTCCCTGCTCAGTGGGAAGCCTGCTTCTCCCTCTCCTGCTCCCCCTGCTTGTGCTCCCTCTCTCGCTATTTCTCTCTCTCTTTCAAATAAATAAAATCTTCAAAAAAATGAAAAATAAAAAAGTAAAACTGCTAGAGAATACAGCACTTTGCCCATTCCCCAGTCGATGGGCACTGGGGTTTCCAGTCTTCCCACTCCTGCAAGCGCGCTGTGCTGGACACTCCAGCACTTTCGGGAGCACCCCTCCCCTTGCTGTGTGCTCACAAGGAGATTCCCCTTTCATCGCCACTCCCAGCCTCCCCCCACCTTGTGCCCTACCCTGTCCATACTACTCCCACAGACGAGTGTGGTCCACCCGGGCAAGGGGACAGCGAGGTCACAGTGTGGGGGTCTCTCGCGGGCTGGTGTTTCCCAGGGAGGCCTCTGAGTCCATGTAGCATGGGGCTGGTAGCAAGTCTCATTCTGGGGATGGGGACCAACCCCATCTTCTGTGTCACCTTTCATCATGATCAAGCTGCTACCATGACCTCTGGCTGCCTGACCCTTCATGATGGGCATGGAAGGCTGGAGCTACCTACTGACTCCTTGGGGGTCTGGGCCCCACTATCCAATGGACTAGCCCGAACCCTTAAGAAGTGGAAAAGGAGAATCTGGGCAACACCACACCCACACGTGAAGACACGGGGCGTCACCCTTGGGCACACACCTCCTTCTGCTCTCAGGGTGCATCTCTGAGGACACAGCTTTGCACAATTTCAAACTTTCCGTAAATTACATGAGACGAGATGTCTTCTGTATTTTGTATTTCTTCCTTGACAGCATAACGATTAATTCATTTTTACATCTGCAGTACTCCAGTATATACGAACACACCGTAATCTAACTACCCATTATGTTACTAAACACTCAGATTACTTAAATTTTTACTACCAAAAATCATTGTTTTGGGGGCGCCTGGGGGGCTCAGTTGGTTAAGTGCTTGCCAATGGCTCTGGTCATGATCTGGAGTCCTGGGATTGAGTCCCACGTCCTGGTGGGGCTCCCCGCTCAGCAGGCAGTCTGTTTCTCCCTCTGCTCTCTCTCACTTTTAATTAAATCTTAAAAAAAAAAAATTGTTTTGAATATTCTTTCACATCTGAAGAGCTTTCTAGGACGTGTCTCTAGAAACAGAAACTTCTGTTTGTGGAAGTGTTTCCTTAAGCACTGACCCAGCTCACACTCTCACTGACAGTGCAAGGGCCCGCACTCCTGCCGACACAGGACACACGGTCGGGGCTCCAGGCTGGCACATGCGCGGGCTGGCCCGCACCTGCGTTCCCCAACCACCGCTGAGTCCTTCTTCACCCCTATTCATGACGCACATCTTCTCCTCCCTGAGTTTGCCACCAGGATATCGGCCCATTCTCCATTTGGGTGTCCTTCTGTTCGGATTACTGTTAAAGTTCCTGATGCGTCCGAAGCATTACTTCCTTGCACCCCTTACATACGTACCAACTGTCTTCTCTTAGTCCGCAGCTTTTAAAAAACGCCTTTTTAGCAGAAGTTTTGCAAGGTTCCATGTGTTCAGATTGGTCGACATTCTTTCTTTTGGATTCTGCATCTCGAGTTCAGCAATCCTTTCTACCCTGAGGTCACAGGGTGGCGGCTCTGAAGTTCTGCCCTGCACATTGAGGGGTTAAACCCACATCGAGCTGGTCTGGTGTACGGCTCAAGGAGGACTCGGATTCTCTTCGTCCTTGCGCACAACTGATTCCCACCCACCCAGACGCCCACACGCTCCCCGCGCATGTGTGCGCCTGGCTGCCCATCCCCTCCTGCCCCATCTGGCCGGGACACAGGGTGCTGCTCGAGCGCAGGGACAGGACCTCAGGGCTTGTCATCTGCTGCACAAGCCCCACACTTCCAATTAATATTGGCTATTCTCGGCCTTTGCTCTTAACAAATAAACTGTAGGCTCAGCTCACCAAGTTTCAAGAAAAAACCTGCCAGATCTTTTACGGAGGTAGACGGGAGCTTGTAAACTTGGGAGTCACAACGTCTTTATGTATTAAGTCTTCTCGTCATGAGCACACGCTCTCTCCTCAGTAACATTTGGTACTTTTGTCCTCAAAGGTCACACACACATCTTTTCAGAGATTTACTCCCAAGTTATTTTGTGTGGCCATTATAAATCAAAGCTTTTCTTCCCCCAAATGACATTTTCTACCGGCCCTGCAGGTACTGTGTGTTAGCCTGTGAGCTTCATTACACACGTCCACAAAGCCCAAGTCTGTCAGTATGTCCACCCACCTCCCAAACCTGCAACCCTGGTGGCACCCCCGTTCCCACAGCTCGAGCTCCAGGCCGGCCTTCTACAAAGTGACAGAGCCTCCTCCTGACAGCCCCTACATGAAACACAGGAGGCACGTTCTGGAGGAGGTGAACGGAATCTGCGAGCCTGGAAACACACGTGGCTGGGCTCCTCTGCCTTCCTTGCCCGGCGCTCAGTGCAGGGAGAGACGGGCCGCCACGCCCTGGAGCCTGTGCGTGTCTGACGACGACTTCCCTTCCACCGGCTCCTTGGTGACAGCTCGGATGGGCATGACCGCCGGGCATGGTGGAGGTATGCGGGTCTCCTGTGTTCTTGGGCAGCTGTCAAGCCCTCCCCCTTGGTCCCTGGAGCTCTGCTGTTGTACTGGAACGTGCCGAGAGTACATTTATCCTCCTGTTTCCTACTCGGTTCTGGAGTACTACGTTCAAGCTAAAGGCTCACGTGGTTCTTCAAGTCTGAATGCTAATGGCGGTTTCCTCCACTCTGTTCTTCCAGGACCACTACCGGATCCGTCCTGAGCCTCTTAGCGCTTCTCCCCGCCTCATCTCGTGGCTTTCTTTTCTATGTCTTCTGTCTACACTGTGTCCTATCTTTGTGTGAACTGAATAGGTGTGATTCCTTCACTTCCGTCTGCCTCCAGCATGCTCAGCTTACAGGGTTAGGAGACCTGTCCACATCCTGACACCGGGTGTCACGGGTCTCTCCTAGCTGACGACGGCCTCACACACACCGGCACCCAGCGTGTGGGCCCTGATGCAAGGTGTTTTCATCCTCCTTCTTCACCGTGACGGCCCCCTTCACCTCTGTCACGTGGGTCTTGTGAGGGGTGGTCCTAATCACAGGGCTATGGGGACACTGGGGCCTCCACAGATGAGACCACCAACTAGTCCAGTTCCAAGCCAGGAGGCTGTATCCATGACCCGCTGAATCACGAAGCAGCAGAAGACACGAGACTATGTGAGAGGTTTCCCAGCCTCTGGTGCAAAACCCCCGGTGTCAGGCAGCGGGGTGCCGTGTGTGGCCACAGATGACGCCAGGAGCCTGTAGCCCCCAATTATGTGTACAGTGAGGCGGGTCTTACCAGAGAAGCCAGCCCCACGGCTCTGGTTTTCCCTTTTCTTATTTCCCTCATTGCTGTGTTGGTGCAGGCAAATTTCAGTGTAACGCTACTAGCACATTTAAACTGTTTTTTTTACTCTTACAAAACAAAAACAACGAACATCACCGTAACAAGTTCACATGATGTAAAAAATGGCGGTGCGGTTGGAGCCGGGCTGTGCCGCCGTGAGACAAACTGGAACGTTCATCCCTCAGCTTCTGGGCCGGTCTGGCCTCACCACATCCAGTAACCATCAGAGGCCAGTGTCTCACTCATGGAGCCGAAGCTGGTGCCTTCGGCCCCCGTTGTCACAGAAATGCGTGAGCCCTGAGGCCCAGCAGGGACGAGCACGAGGAATGATGCCCGAGAGCCGCTGTTTCAGGCCGCAGGTCCCAGACACACGTGACGACCCCACGCGAGCACAGTGCTGACCCTGCACGGTTTCAGCTCGGGTGTAGCACGCTCATCTCCTAGGCCACCAATTTTCATTTTCCAACATGGATTTGTTTCTCTTGAACGTGGTCCTCAAACTATCCTAAATGGACAAGCATGGAAATGCCGCTTTCCTAGTCCAGTGGAGACTGGAAAAGCTGAACACCATGACTGCCAGGAGAGCCCCACGACGGGGCAGAGCTGTGACTCATCTAACAGGCCTTCGGAGTGAATCCAAGTCAACGACCACCTGGTACCCCAAAGCATACTTACAGCCCGGCCCCACCTACCTTCTTTCTCGCCCCGGCCGCTGCCCACGAGGAATCTGGACACCAGCGGTGTGCTGGACAAGGACAAGCAAGTAGAGATGAAGATGCTCTGGGTGGGTCTGATCTGCAGCAGGTGTCCCCATAACAGGCCGAACGCGATCATCAACAGCGTCATGTAACACGGTCCCTGGAAAGCTATCTTCCACACCTGGAAGAGAACACATCCGTTTAGTGACGTTTAGTGACGACGCGCAGAGCACGTGCGCGCTGCCTGGCCACGGGCCTCAGTCTCCCAGGGAGGAGCTCTGCCCTAAACACCTCATCAGCCCAATACCCAAAGTCACGATCTGAACACAATAAAAACAGCGGCCGCTCCTGTCGGCTTCCCGAGTGCTCAGTGCTGTCACAGGGACGAAACACACGCCTCTCTCCGTGTGACACGTGTCTGTGCACACATCACCTAACCCTCTCAGCACGTCGCCATGGTGGACAGCACCACCTCCCCCTCCCTGGATGGAAACACGAGTTCCATGGACACCAGCGCGGCTCGGTACCCCAGTACTGACGAGTACCTCGGTGTTCTCCTAGCGCTGTGTTAGACGTGATGGAAACTGTCAGGTTTGAGTCAAGCTCTCTCGGGTTCTCAGCTGCGTGGAGGAGACACAGTAATGAAGGCGATCTGACGTTGACACCAACGGGAACGGTAAATACTGACAAAAGACACCATCCTGAAGCTCATCCTACCCTACTGGAAAGCACCGGCTCATTTTCTTCTCGCCCCACACCCTCTCAAGCACTCCCGCACCCAGGCCCTCGGGCAAGGACACGAGGGGGCCCGGAAGAGGGGCAGAGGGGCTCAGCACAGAGGCTCTGAAGCCAATGCCCGAGACCCCACGGGCTGGCCAGCCTCGTCTGTGTGAACACACTGTTCCCCTTTTGGGGATCTGAAGGATGTGGCCTTGTCCTCCGCCGCTCTGCTTCTTGACAAGAAGCCGCACTTCCCTCAAAACCACAGCACCGTCTCTGGGAATCAGCGCAGCCGGGAGGCTCTTCCTGAGGCCACAGCTCTTCCCACGGCTGTAACCGGCAGCCTGCTTGTCCGCCACAGATTCCAACTTCCCGAACGAACTGTAAGAGCCTCCTGGCACTGTCGAGCCCAAGTCAAATGGCGGGAGACTGACAGAGGCAAAAGAACTGGGATTCAGCCCTGAGCACACAGCCGATCTGCTCTCGGCCATGAGGTTCTGGCCAGCCCAGAGAACGCTTAGCCCCTGAGGCTGCCTCTCCAAGGTCCGGATGCCACACTCCCTACTTCCTGCCCATGGCAGTGGTGATCGCTGTCTTGGCTAATGGCCTCCCAACAGCTCTCCCTCTTCCTGTCACAGCCAGGAGCGGTGGGAAGGCCCGGGAGCACCTGCAGAGGTAGCCACAGCGCCTGGGGAGGCTGGCATGCTGGATTTTAAGATTTCCAAGTTGTTGTTTTTTTTAAATATTTTATTTATTTGAAAGAGACGGAGCTAGTGAGAGACAGCATGAGTGGGAAGGAGGAGGAGAAGCAGACTCCCCGCCGAGCAGGCAACCCAACGTGGGACTCGATCTCACGACCCTGGGATCATGCCCTGAGCCGAAGGCAGCTGCTTCACTGATGCAGCTGCCCAGGCGCCCCAGCGCTCCCAGTTTCAGGCAGCCCCTCCTGTAAGGGACGGGGGTATTCCTGCCCACAGTGGAGCCCGGAGCTCAGGCTTGACTCTGTCCTGGCCAGCCGGCTGGCTGTGCACCTTGGGGAGGGAATCGTCTCTCTAGCCTGCGTCCTCCGCCTGCAGACGAAGGCTGGGCTGATGATTTCTGAGGTCGCCACCACACTTTGGTCCGGAGGATGGGTATCTGTCTGCCCGAGAAGCACGGTGAGCAGGGGACTGTGGGAAATGTGGGCAGTGCCCGTAGAGGACTCCTGCTCTACACAAAGCATCTGGACCACCCTGCACTCCCGGAAACACAGGCCCTTGGGCCACACATATCAGAGCTGGCTGCTCAGCAGGGTCCCCAGACAACTCCCCGTGTCAGAGTCAGGGCAGCGCATGCCCCGCACATCTGCACCCCAGACACATACCCCCTTGAGCTCCGTTTTCATGTCTCTGTCCACAACCCCACACATGCTTCTGAAATCCCAAGACAGGAGGCCCACAAGGCAGGGCCACACAGCTGTGCACACAGCCTCACACTCCGCAGCCACCAGCGCCTGGAACAAGGGTCTACTGAGGGGACAGATACGGAGAAAAAAGGGAGAAGACGTGGTTCGCACACAGAGACGGAACGGCCGACGTGGGAGACAGACACGGGGAGCCAGGACACGGCCAGGCAGGGACGCAGACACGCGACAGGCCGTGCGGTCAGGAGACAACGACGGCAACTCTGCTCAGCGCCAACCACGAAGAAGCTCCCAGGCCTCAGTGCTCGCAAAGCTTCTAATCAGACTTTCAGGTGGTTCACAGGAGACCTAAGGGGACCTTCCAGCAATTCCTTCAAAAACCTACTGAACGATTCCGCACCCTGACAGGGCACGTGGGTGACCTGAGACCGTGCTGGTACTTCAGGCTGCCCTGGAGCTACGCCCGTGACTTCCTCTGCAGAACAGGAAAGGCAAACAAACGTGTCACTTGACAGTGTCCTTCACTAGGCGGAGAGAAACCCGCAAGCCCGTTGCGGGCGGCCACCACGCGGGGCTCCGTGTGAGGAGTCCCGGCTCCCCCCAGACAAGGTCACTACACAGGGGCCGGGCCCGTCCACGCGCCCTCCCACTTCTCACACCACGGCCCACGACGACCAGACGCTCCCACATCTTCCTCCCGAGCCCTCCCCGGGGCGCCCGGCCCAGTGCGATGGCAAACCCGGCGCGCTGCAGGCCGGCCACGGTGCCAAGGGGTGCGGCTTCGGGCTGCGTCCAGCCAAGTCCGCGTGCCGCCGCCGATCGCTAACCGCAGACGCTACCGTGGTGAAAACCAGGACGATGAAGAAGGAGAGCCCGGACACACGAATCTCTCAAACCCCTGACTGCGCAGGACACTGAGGTCCGAGGCGCGCGGTCCTGCGATGAGACCGCCAGGCTCCGTCCCTCTGTCCCAAACCGCCGGAACCGCGCTGTTCGCCACCGGCTGCTCTCAGCCGCACACACCCGAGCCGGAGAAGCCCACGCGAGCGCCGAGCGAGGACGGCCGCGAGGAGACCCTTCCTGCCCACGGAACCCCGGCTCCCGGCAGACCCAGCCGGTCCCCGCCGGGCCATGGCCACACAACGCGCCCGTGAGCACAGCGGAGAGAGGGGCGCGCCACTGTCCTGGCAGCACCGCACCTGGGACGTCCGGTGCGCAGGGTAAGCCAGAAGCACACAGACACGAGACACCTGGAGAAAGCGCAAACGTGACCCAGGGCAGCCGTGAGAAGGCGCGTCTGGAGAAGCACATTAGAGGAACCGACCGGAGGACGGACCAGTGGAGCTTTCCCCGGGGAAAAGCAAGACGGCAGAGAAACGAGAGGTCCGAGAGGGACAGGATGAACAAAGACTGACACGTTAATGCATGTTCCTTTGTTACCAACAACGCTCAGCCCGTCTCCCGGCGACACACGTGGAAGCGTGGCCACAGCACCTGCTGCTGCTGTCTTTCACAGAAACGCCACCGTGTGGAGCCTGACACCTCGTGTGGGTTCACGCTTCCAAAACCTTGTGCTTGATTCTTTCCCTCGGACGGAGAGGCAGCATTTGCACCAGCAGGTTAAGGCTCGTCAGTCACCCAGCTGGGCCGGCCCGGCCTGGGGTCCTCAGGCACCGCAGTGGCCTGCCAGCCCCTCTGTCCCCTCCCTCCCGCCAGCTCTGCAGCGGGCTGCTGTCTTCCTCTGCGAGGGAGGAGCTTCTCATTAGCTCCCTTCCCCTCTCCATCCCGGTGGCCCCCGGAGCTCAGGGCCAACGCGCTTCCCGGTTTTCACCGTTTCCACACACACCCGGTCCCAGTGGCGACCGGCCTTGCAGGTACTGGCACTTTACAGGGACAGAACGACAGAATCACAGTTTGCCACTCGTTTAGGAATTAAAAGACCTTTTTCTAGGGTAACACACTGAACATCTGATGCTGTGGCAGTTCAGCCTCGAGCAGTGTCTGACCTTTTTGGAGGGACCCCATTATGTAATCTCAAACACATCACTTCTCAGACTGTTTATGAAATCAGCCACATGGAAGCTAATTTTTTTTTTTTAAGATTTTATTTATTTGACAGACAGAGATCACAAGTAGGCAGAGAGGCAGGTAGAGAGAGAGAAGGAAGCAGGCTCCCCGCTGAGCAGAGAGCCTGATGTGGGGCTCGATCCCAGAACCCTGGGATCATGACCTGAGCTGAAGGCAGCGGCCTAACCCACTGAGCCACCCAGGCGCCCCATGGAAGCTAATTTTTATGCATTTAATTTTCACCTCTTCTAGCATTTTTTATCTTTCTGAATAGTACCAAACTAAAACCTACTCTAAAATGTTTAATTTCAGGGGCTCCCAGGTGAATCAGTTGGTCAAGCATCTGCCTTCGGCTCGGGTCAGGATCCCAGGGTCCTGGGATCAAGCCCCCTGACGGGCTCTCTGCTCAGCGGGGGGCCTGCTTCTCCCTCTCCCTTGGCTGCTCCCCCTGCTTGTGCCCTTTCTCTCTGTGTGTCAAAGTAAAATAAATAAAATCTCTAAAAAAAGAGTTTAATTTGATAACCCAATCATGAACCCACATTGAAAGGAAACAAACTGAAACCATACGATGATTAAATTGGGGGCAACATCACAGCTTGGTGAAGCCCTTACCTTTCTCAGCCTTTCCGGGGAGAACTCCAGGCCAACGAGGAACAGAGTGAAGAACACACCGACCTCTCCCAAGGTCTCCACCTGCACAACAGACTGCAAACACAATTGTAAAACCACAGTCTGATGTATTTCACATCTGAAGTGTGCGTCACAGAATAATCTGAGGCTAACATACCCAGTGGGACCACCTCTACAAAGCAGTGTGTTTTTTATTTTTATTTATCTTTTTTAAGATTTTATTTATTTATTTGACAGAGATCACAAGTAGGCAGAGAGGCAGCAGAGAGAGAGGGGGAAGCAGGCTCCCCGCTGAGCAGAGAGCCCGATGCGGGACGCGATCCCAGGACCCTGAGATCATGACCCGAGCCGAAGGCAGAGGCTTCACCTGCTGAGCCACCCAGGCGCCCCACACAGCATGTTTTTTAAACTGATCCTCAGTGTGCTCCGCACCTGAGATGACTTGACTTCCTGACCGCACTGTTCTTTTCCATTTCCTCCACTAGGGAAGGACTCTGTATCTTTTTTCCTAAGCACTGGCTCATGAATCACCTGTTTCCAGGTGCAGAAGCCGCTGCTGCTCTCATTTCTGCCTGCCTTCGCTCTCCTGGACGGTGACGCAGCACCAGGCCCCAAGGGCCCGCCCGCACACTCCTCCGCACATGGCTACGTGCACCTACTTCCCTGGGCGCCACAGCTGGCCACGTCCCACAGGTTTGGAGACACCGTGCTCCTGTGCTGTTTGCGATTCACTTCCCATGCCGTGACGTGGTTAGCAGAGAATGCTTTCCTCACTGCCCTCCTTGGCACCCCTACGTCACTCACACCGGTGGTTTCCCGTGGAGCCGTGAACCGGACGTCGGAAAGCAAAGCACAGGCCTCCCCGCGTCTACACGCACCCTGAGCCACGGCGCAAGCACACGCCCACAGCCCGCCAGCCACGACAGGACGGGCCCCGCCCTCTCTTTCGAAGCCATCTCCCTCCTTTCACTTCAACTTTTCTTTCTCATTCTCACTGAATCCTGCTTGTTGTGCCTTTTTCCTGACACCACCACAAACCCGTATCTTTCAGGAGTGAAGTTTACTTCACTTCTACTCCTCGTGATAACAGATTTCTGCTCCCCTCCTTCGTCTTCTGGCTTTTCCTTACTGCTTTTACTTTTCCTCCCTTTTTAAAACAAAGCTGTAACCTACGGCTTCAAACTAACGCACTTAAACCTGTTCTCCTCCCCATAATGAGCACAAGCTTATCAACCTCCTACCAGGAAAAGATAAGTATTTGGCACCATCACACTTCTTCCATGAACCGCCTCCCACCTCTGGCTGGTACGCCCGGGTTTTCACCTTGGTCTACTGTAATGACATTGTTTTCCAAAGTACAGCACGTTTGTTAGGAATTGTAATATTTGTAGCTTCCAAGTGTAGTTTTCACCTGACTCAGCCTTTACTTATCATTTAGCCTTAATCCTTACAAGCAGTCGTTGCTACGAAGAAAAAATAAAAAAGAAAAATACATTTGCATTTGCTATCATTTGTAAATACTCTGGAAAGGGAGGGATGGGACAAGGGCAGGAAGAGATTTTTCATCTACAAATAAATTTTTTTTTTTTACCCACACCATTTTGTCCTCAAACACATGGAGATCACCTATTCAGAAAACTGAATTAGAAGCATTGTTCCCAGGGGCGCCCGGCGGGCTCAGTCGGTCAAGTGTCCGACTCTCGGTTTTGGCTCAAGTCGCCGTCTCAGGCTTCGTCACGATCTCGCAGATCGGGCTCTGCACTCAGTGGGGAGTCAGTTTTTCTCCTTCTGCCGCTGCCTCCACTCCATGGTGCCCTCTCTAATATATAAATCTTTTTTTTTTTTAAGATTTTATTTATTTATTTGACAGAGACAGAGATCACAAGTAGGCAGAGGGAGGCGGGGGCGGGGGAAAGCAGGCTCCCCACTGAGCAGAGAGTCTGATGTGGGGCTCGATCCCAGGACCCTGACACCATGACCTGAGCCGAAGGCAGAGGCTTAACCCACTGAGCCACCCAGGCGCCCCTCCAATATACAAATCTTAAAAAAAACAAACAAACAAACTCAAAACCATTCTTCCCACAGGCCACCCTGCCACGCTGAGCTCAGGCCACAAGAGGACCTGCCAGGAAGGTCCTGGGCTTTGAGCCCGAGCACAGCCCCCATCCCCCTGCCAATCAGACCCACTGAGAAGATTACTTGGGGATGAGGACTTTTTTCACATCTTCTTCTGTTGTCCGGTCTAGAGAAGCTGCAGCACACCTGCCCGGCGGGGTGTGTCCATTAGCCGCAGGGGAGAGGCCCCCAGTGGAGCGCCCACACCTCTCCCTGCCTGCCTGCCCGTCCTCCTCCTGAGGGCTCTGCCGCATTCCTCACCACCCCGTACGCTCCTTCCGTGTGGGACTCATGACGCTCCTTCTGGGCATTCTCTGTTCTTTTTGTCTGAACTGTGTGTTACTAGACGGCACATTCGGGGGTCCACAGAGTGCCGGCGACACAGGCTGAAGCTCACAGCCCCAGCTGCCACAGCCTCTACTGCCACAGCCTCTGCTCCGCCTCAGCAACAGCCGCCTCTACCCCAGCACTCACAGTCTCCTGGGGCTCTCACAACACCCCACATTTAGGCTTGTTAATTTGTCACTACTTTACCAGCTTCACCATATGGTACAAATATTTGAATTACATATTGAATCCACCATTTTGAGTTGTTTTCAGTGTCTGAATAATATAATTCATACTATTACTGGAAACAGAAATTCTGAAACTAATAAAATTTAAAGACATGTACCAGGATTTTTTCTCTAGTCGAGTCATCCATTCACTAGTGAACAAAATTATTTCCTTACGGTTTAGACATTTCTTATGAAACTATTTTGTAGAGCATCTTCCTCAACATGGTTTATAAGAAACTACTATCTTTATCAATTCAAGTTCAAAACGTCAAAACCCTTTAGTCCGGGCCTCTTCGCTGTTCTGTCAAAGGGTACTACAACAGTCAGATTCTGCTCTTACCTTAATAGTGTTCAGCCCCGAAGGCCCCAGAAGTACGCCACAGATAATATAACCGAACATCGTAGGCAGTCCTATTGCTGTGCACAGCCAGCCACAAGGCAGAGACAGCATTCCTATGGTAACGATGTCCTGGAGAAGAATAAACAAAAAACAGACACAGACACTTGAGGTAACCGTGGGCAGGACCAGAAGGGGCTGGCGGCAGAGAAAGCGGGCGTCCTGCGGAGCGGCCCTCCCAGTCTCCGTTGGCGGCAGCGGCAATGAAGGCAGGTTTGAGTTCCCCCCCACCCCAGGAGTCAGCCACTCCCAGCACTCCTTGGGGGTCACAGACCTTCCTCTCAGTGGGTGCCGCCATCCTCCTGAAGAGCAGCAAAATCCCGGCACCTGGGAGGACGCTGGAGACCCAGCGGGGTGTCCGGAGCCCGACAGCCTTCCCTGAGCTGCCCCAGTCACTCCTGTACCAGTTACCCTCTCTGGTCCAAGCCCAAGCAGTGATCTCCACCCACAGCTCTGTCAACTGCAGATCTTTCCGTAATCCCGTATCTTCTTTACCCCACTGGCTTCCCCAGAGGGCACAGACGTGAATCCAGCTCAGTCTAGAACGCCTGTCACCTCCTCTGGGGGAACCGGACCTCATCCCGCACCCACGTCTACACGAAACCACCCACAGCGCCGGAGCCGAAGCCTCTTGGCCTCATCCCATGCTCCCTCTCAGGGCCGAGCTGGAGCCCATCAGAGCAGCTCCGGACTTCATAGACTCCCAAATTCCCAAAAGAAAAATTAATTTTCATTTTAAATATTAAAATGCCTTATTCTCTTATTCTTTTGGGGAAAAAATAAAGATGAAGAGAAACTGCTTCAAGTCAGAGAAAACACGGAATGCTAGTAAAATCTCTGTTGGGAGGAAGGTTGTGTACCCTATGATGCTCAGGAAATAAGGCTCCGTCTTACTTCGCGTGAACACCAGGAAGCGCGAAAGAAGGAGGGGGGTTCTGAGAGGGGAGCAGACAGACAGATGACCTTTAGAAAGTGGTGATCTGCGCGTGGAATGGTGGCGTCTCTGGGTTTGGTCAGGATGTACCGGTTGTTCTGGGAGTCGATCAGCATGCTGAGACCCAAATCATCCTCCACGTCCCGCTTTGTGAGGTTCTGCTTGGAATTGGCCTCTTCTTCCTCTACTCTGAGGACTGCCTCAAAATTGACCCCTTTCACCTGTGAGAATAACCAACACTGTGTCACTGGAAACAAGGAAATGTTCTCAATTTTTAGAGCAAAAATTCCATAGAGAAGTGACAGGAAACGTCTCCAGCGTTCCGTTGTGTGATGAAACACGGACACATGCTCATGAACACATGTTGAGGAAAATTTTTTCAAGTACAGAGGTGATTTAAGGCTGGAAGTGTTTAGGGTTTCTATGACTTCCAGACACCTGCTCTACCTGGCTCAGGGCACACCTGTACCAACAAACACGCATTTGGTCCTCAGCCCCCTTCCTGGCTGACAGCACCCACAACCCGTGTGATTTCCTACGTGTGAAGAGAAACAGGAGCACCTCACGGGCGCTCCGCAGCCTCACCTGAGCTCACGGCAGTGACGGCATTTTTAGGAAGCCACTAGATCCCCACAGGATGGGGCTGCGGGAGGGAAGGGGGCGAGAGGCTAAGTTCATCACAGGCCCACACGAGGCGGCTCCCAGTAAACCCTGACGCGGGGGCTCGGAGATCGTCCGGCTGGGAGGAGGGAGCCGCCCCGGCGAGCGGGTGAGCGGCATCCACTCTTCACCCCTTAACACCTGGCTGTACCTCAACTGTGTCCCTCACAATGTCACCATCACCCAGCAAAGAAACTGTCTTCCTGGGCTCTGGGAGCCCGAGGAGAGGGTCTGGAACCCGTGACGGACCTCTGAAATGGGGGAAGTGCTAGGCTGAGCCCTTGTCTGCAGGATCCGCACAGACCCAAGGTGCCGGGGGCAGAAGGGAACTGGGGGGGCGTGGCAGGGACAGCCCGATGGCCGGACACGGAAGAGCTCGCTGAGCACTGCGTAAAGGGCAGGCGAGCTCCCTCAAGAAGACACTCGCGCCCCTCCCTGCCTTGGCCGGCGATGTCCGAGAGCAGCCTACGCGGTGCTCACACCCTGAGCGGGGTTCCCACCTGCTTTCCTACCGAAGGCTTTTCAGCGTCCTTCTCAGGACTCACAGCCAATTTCTGGCCTTAATGTCATTTTCCCCAGAGAATCCTCAACCTGCCTGAACAAGCGACATGTCTGAGAGCCTGCGCCGGACGCGCTTCCGAGAAGGACTTGACGGCTCCCCTGGGCAGATCCGCACTGAAACCTGACTGTCCCAGGGCAAGCTTTCTTAAGACCAGAGTCCCAGTCCCCCTGAAGGCAAAAGTGGGACAGAGACGAGCCACTGGTGAGGCACCGACAAAAATGCAAGGCGAAGGCAAGGGTTATCTAGCGGACTCCCACGCGACAAACCGGTCTCTTTCTGAGCCCGGCAGGGGCTCTGGTCCCGTCTTCACTTCCAGTCCAACCGCGACCAGAGCGCCGGCGAACTCAGCCGCACGCAGCCGAGCAGAGAGGGACGCGTCCCGGACTGCTACTCACGGACTTGTTGTCATCGAAAGCGTGTTCTTCTATTTCCTCCTCGAGGCGATCGGCTGCCTTTCTCACATCCTCAAGAATTTCGTCGAGTATGGATAAGCTTCTGTTCTGGTGCTGCATGCTTTTGAGAGCTTCGACCTGATGTTTTTCCGCTGCCAGAAGTTCCACATATTCTGTCTCCTCCTGTGCGTTGGTGAGAAAGGAAATCTGGGTTTATTAGGAAAGAGGCCAGGCCAGGACTTCCATCCGAATGCCTGGCCCGGCCACGCCAACCCACACGCTCTCACTGCCAAATCCGTTGGTAATCGTGTGTGTGTGTGGCTCCGGCCAGGAGAGAAGGTCGAGCACCCTCCATCACTTGGATGTCACGAGCTCCGAGAACGTCAGGGAGAGCTGTGTGATGGACACACCAACGAACGTGCTATAGCCCTGGAGTAAATTCTGAAGGTCATCTACTCGCGCAGAGCCCCTCACTGGACAGACTCTACTGCAGACGCCACGCCGACCACGTATGGACGGCCGCACTCCAGAAACACCTGTGGTCCTGGGCCACTGGCAAGCAGCGTCTGTTCAGACGAGAGCATCAAGGTCTGTTGCCGACACACAGTCACACATGCCAAAGACACATGCTCCTGAATCAAGGGGGCCGAAAACCCTGACCCTGACTCAGCCATCTACCCTATCACCGTGTTTCTACCAAATATACTGTCCTTTGGTAAAGAAAGTTTAATAGTCTGTACCCTCTTCACTGTTTGAACTGCGTGTTAATACCACGTGCTTTCTATGAAAATGACGTATTTCACATACCGATGGTCTCTGACTTAGGATGGCCGGACGTAAACCTCCTGACCTCTCGGGGGTGTGACAGGGACGCACGCTCAGTGGAAACCACACCTGGCATTCTGATGGGATCTTTCCCGGGCTACCATAGGCAGTGGGATCCTCTCTCATGATGCTGGGCCGTGGCATGGGGCCACAGCTGCCCATCGGCCGCCACCACGGGGTGCACAACGGCCCCAACGACAAGCACTCTGTGTTCACGCTCAGTACAGAACTCAACACAGCACGTGAGGTGTTCAGCGCGTCACTACGGAGCGGGCCTCATGTCAGCTAACACTGCTACAGCTCTGGGCAGCTCGGGTGACTAAATGCATTTCTGACCTGCTGTATTTGCAACCTGCGGCGGGCTTACTGGGACAACGCCCCATCACGAGTCAAGGAAGATCGGGATTTAAAGTGTCTGACGTAACAAACAGCGTAAATGACGGCTAAAAAAATCATACATAAACACCACATCCGATACGGCAATACTTTCGTCTCTCCGTTTTAAAAATACGCTTCGTCAGGGCGCCTGGGTGGCTCAGTGGTTTAAGCCTCTGCCTTCGGCTCAGGTCATGATCTCAGGATCCTGGGATCGAGCCCCACATCGGGCTCTCTGCTCAGCGGGGAGCCTACTTCCCCCTCTGTCTCTACCTGCCTCTCTGCCTACTTGTGATCTCTGTCTGTCAAATAAATAAATAAATCTTAAAAAAAAAAAAAAAAAGCTTCGTCAAAATGCTGATTTCAAATGCACATATTGCCGAAAACGAACTTTAGTATTTGAATCTTCAGCAGATGGACCCTCGACAGCCAACCTTCACGCTAAAAACAACTGTTGTGAGAATCAAAATGCTGATGGTGGTTACAAATACATTTACTTCCACGTCGGTTTATGGTCACTGTTTTAATCAGCTGGGAGTTTCCACAGCAGAGAAAAGCACCACAACCGCTGCTAGAAGTCCTGGAAGGGAGCTGTGCTAAGATGTCCCACACAAGGAAGGGACACTTCCCGCACACGCCCTGCTGCGAACAGGGGCCCAAGCGCCCGCCGCCCTCTCGCCGGACCCCCGCGGGCCCTGCCCTCTGGCCCAGAGCGGGCCGCACTGACCTTGATCGCAGCCTCTCGCAGGGCCTCCAGGCGCTGCCTGCTGCTCTCCTTCATGTTCACGACGTCCCTGTAGTCCCCCTGCAGGGCTCTCTGGAGGCCGTGGATCGCCTGGAACACTGAGTTTTCGCTTTCGTTCAGCTCTTTTTGGAAAATTTCGAATGTGTGCACCTGAAACAGCTTCTCTTCATCGGACAGGCTGCTGTCTTTCTCCACCGCTCTGATCGCACTTTTCAGTTTGTTAAGAACCACAGTCTTTTGGCGAAGAAGCCCGGAGAGCTTCCGGCAACCGTCCAGGACCCACTGCTTCCGCTGCGCGCCGGCGGCTCCGCGGCCTCGGTGTAACTTGATGGCGTGCTTCGCCACCTGTTCATGCTCCGCAGCGCTGGCCACCACACAGAGCAGCGCAAGCAGCACCCACAAGTAATTTTCCTCCAGCACCCTCATGGTCCAGTTTTAGCGGACAGGGCCACACGGTCCGAAGGCCTCCGCCAATGTCAGCTTGCGTTTTACACACACATTTTCAGCTGGAGAAGAGATTTACTGTCACATATAGTTGAACCAACGACTCATCCCACTGAGATCAGAGTTAAAAATATTAAATAATTACATCCGGAAAGCTACCACTTTTTTGAAGAAGTTACTTTTTCTCGATAAACAATAATATCTAGACTACTATACCTGGACCTAATCGAACGCTGAACACTGAAGTACGGCGCCTGGTAAAGAACTGGGATGCAAGGTTATGCCGAATTTAAAGACAATTTTTCTTTTTAAAGAAAACTTGGCTTCATATACCTACTAACTCTACTGTGTGCAAAACACAAAACCCAACTCGACTTAAGAGGGTCCACATATTAAAGGTCAGAAAACACCATCAACTTCCGCTACCTCAGATCTGTGAATCACCTGGAGGAAACACGCTCCACATTTCTGAATGAAACCCTCTGAGCTACTATTAGCTTACTCGAGCATACTGTTTTCTTACCAAAATCATTAGATATTTTGCTGAATTTCCAAAGTCACAGATGCCAAACGCAGAAAAAGAAAATCACAAAACACCATCACATCCGGATCGATAGGGCTTTACTAAATGTTCAAACATCCTCTATGATCCAAACGTAGGCTCCGTCTCTCCCTCTCTTGAGGAAGTGCCCAGGCACCACAAGGGCACTGATCCTGGCAACGGAAGCACAGACAGGACCGACCGTGACAGGCGCAAGTTTCACCGCAGGCTGTGCCGTGGGCAGCAGTGGGTGCCGCGGCTGAGGTTCCCGGTTACACCAGGAGGGCAGGGCTGCGTCCTCCAAGGGAGCGAGGGACCAAGAAGCAGTGTCAGCAAGGCCACCAAGAAGAAATCACCTCGGAGGTAGGAAAACGGAGAACAAGGTAGGAAAAAGTAACAAACACAAGACAGGCCAAGCAAGCTACGCCCTAAAAAGCAACCAATGAAACCTGGTGACTAGATCACCAGGCACAAGTACTTGTTCAGAAACGAAAACAAACCAAACCTGCCACTCACACAAGCCTTGCAGTTAAACAAAACATTAGTATGAATGAGTCATTCATAGCAGCACCCCATGGGCCGTCACGACAAACGTGCCGGTCGTCTCCCTCCCTGGGGGTCTGCGACTCAAACACGCCGCTGTACCTCAGTTTCACCGGGAACCCCAACGCTCACAAGCGTAATCTGCTTTCCCAGGCAAAACAGATCAGAGGCAGCAAAAACGAGACTGTGACATTTCTGGAGGTAAAATTCTGACAATACCAAGAAAGGACAGGCAGGACAAGGCGGAGACCAAACAGAACTTCTGAAAAACCAGCACAAGAACTCCGCAAAGACCGGCCCCCCGGGGATTCAGTGAGGGCTGAACCGCAAACACCACGACTGGAGGATGGGAAGGACACCTGCCCATCAAAAGTCACCAAAAAAAATTATATTCTGGCTCAGTACTCTGATTAGAAAGTCAGGAAACTTCTCAGTTTCAATACATTTTCGAATCCCTCAGCTCCTGAGGTCACCTAAAGAACCACGTACCTACAATAGTTCACTTTCTTCCAACGAGGCAGGATACATGAGAACGTGCCACCTAAGTTACCCGACTTTAGGTCACGGTTGTAATATAACTTTAAGTAAATGTTACCACCTTAAAAGTAAACAAGTGATGAATCATAGTAATGCCTAGCAACGTAGTTAATCTGCCATTTTAATGACTCATTTTACGGCTAAGCTTCTACTGTCCCAGGGAACAGAAAGAATTCAATCACTACTTCAGAAGCGCATGCTTTTTTAGCATTTTTCAGAACCAAGATAGAGATTTCCAAAGCTTGTCAATGTTTCCCATTTTCCCTAAGAGATCAAAGAGATTCTTGTATGGATTTCAAACTGCAGACAAATAACTGGCCACACAGCTTGTGAACGACGCGCTTCCACTCATCTCTGCTTCCTTCCCCAGACCAGTTCCTGAAATTAAATAGTATAACTCCACCCCACGACACGTGACAGGCTATTAATTTTTATGAGAAATCATGGAAAATTTTAATTGTGGTCATACAATATTTCCACCAAAACAAATCTGATTCATGAACATGAACCTGAATTTATAGACTCTGAAAACAAATCACTCCTTCTTCATAAGTTCAATTTCATCTAACCTTCAAACTCGCTACCAAATCCTATGCACTCCTGAACTGCTACATGCTTTTTCTTGAGTAAATAATAAACGTTTTTAGCTCCAGTATTTTATTATTATTACCTTCAATTATAAAAAAGACACTTTGGATTTATTGTTTTTAAAATGAATTTCTAGAATTTCTATACTTTTTTTTTAAGATTGTATTTATTTATCCAAGGGAGAGAAAGGGCGAGAGCACATGCATGCACACAAACAGTGGGGGAGGCAGAGGGAGAAGCAGACCTCTCATGAGCATGGAGTCTGAAGCAGGGCTTGATCCCACGACCCCGAGATCATGACGAGAGCCGAAGGCAGACGCTTCCCCGACTGAACCCCCCAGGCGTCCTAGAATTTCTATATCTTGATTCACTGATCCAAACTCAGTGGATCTCAAGAGTGCGTGAGGACAGCCTGTCACATGGGCCCCACGACTCCTTTTAGACGGACGGCACTGCGGAATGACACTCTGTGGAGGGGGAGAGCGGACAGGGGCTGTCAGGGGCCAGGGAAGGGGGCAGAGGGACCCTGTGGATGGAAATGGTCTGTGTCTTGGCAGTGCTGGTGGCCCCGGAATCCATGCGTGACAAACTCGCACAGATCTGAGCACACACACGAGTGCACGCAGAACATGCCGTCTGCGTCGGTGGGAGAATCGGACCAAAGCCGTCTTCTACTTACACCATATGTTTTGTCAGGAGCTATCACTGGGGATATCTGGGTGAAAGACCTATGGGATTTCTTTGTATTAGTTCTTTTAACTGTAAGTATTATCCGAAAATAATTATCTCAAAGTAAAACTCTAAGACTTGAATGTAAAGGCTTACCATTTCCCACTAAACCCTCATCATGTTTAATGATCACCATTTACGCTGCAGAACAAGGAAAACGTATCCATGACGAGGAAACATCCTAACCAGAGCTGAAGGTTTTTAAGATGTCTCTGCTGCAGTAAAACACAAGGTCACTTTCTGTTCAGAGCAACACCAGAATCAGTGCTTTGAACACCACCCACCCCCAAAGGTTTCATTTACACATATTTCAACTTTAGTTAAAACTTATCTCCACAGCCTAGCCAAATCTCTAATGGGTTTGCTTGCTTGATAAATGCAGAACACGATTCCCAAAACTTATCTTAAAATTGATGAGATTACTTGATCAAGAACACAAATATTTAATAAGGAGTTATTTATTTAGGATAAAAAGGCAAATGGAGGGGCGCCTGGGTGGCTCAGTGGGTTAGAGCCTCTGCCTTCGGCTCGGGTCATGATCCCAGGGTCCTGGGATCGAGCCCCGCATCAGGCTCTCTGCTCGGCGGGGAGCCACTTCCTCCTCTCTCTCTGCCTGCCTCTCTGCCTCCTTGTGATCTCTCTGTCAAATAAATAAATAAATCTTTAAAAAAAAAAAAAGGCGAATGGATTCACTATTAAGCCTACTCAAAAAAATCAAAAACAAAAAAAACTTCCAATATCTTTAGGGGTGCCTGGGTGGTTCAGCATCCAACTCTTGGTTCCAGCTTAGGTCACGATCTCACGGATGGTGGGGCTAAGCCGGTGTCAGGCTCCATGCTATGCAGGGAGTCTGCTTCAGATTCTCTCTCTCCCTCTCCCCCTTGTCCCTCCCCCCAGCACGCACCACTCTCTCTCCAATAAATCTTCTTAGAAGTATTTCCGATGCCTTAATTCACTGTCGTATGAAAGTCACTTTAGTCTCATCCACTTGAAAATCTTCAGTAATTCGTAAATGTTACATCATTTACTGGATAAAGAGTTCAAAAGCAAAGCACAATAACGTTGTCTGAAACCAGCCTTTTTCAGAGTGAAGTCACCCAAGCTAAAGATTTCTCCCACATGCCCCTAACTCTGGACTCTATGGGACTGCAGGTATGTAAAGGGACTATTTCCTCAGACATCGGATGTGAGACAGAGCCCTAGAGTCCGGGGGTTGCTGACGTCCCTTCAGGGAATGGGGCTGGGGAGGCAGATGGGGAGGGGAACTCCTCTACTTTCTTCAATTTTCTATAACGGTCTGAAACGTGAAAACCTCATGGCTCTGCCTCCCAGCCTTCTGCTCACATGCACCACAGGGTCCCGCATCGTCCTCTGGACCTTCTGGACCCACCTTCTCCAATTTTCATGATCAAACTGCCGGGAAGAATCTAGTTCATTCCCCACAGCAGTACAGGGGGCCGCTGCCTGTCAGGCCAAGGTCAGCCCAGCCGGGATCCAACACAGCCCTGCGGAGGAACCAGCCGCATCCGGTCTGCTGAACCAAGACCTGAGCGTGGGGCACACTGACCTGGTACCACAGGCGGTGCCTAGAGCCACAGGCAGGAGATCCCAGGGCCCGCAATGCAGTGCAGGCGAGGCGGGAGTCCAGTCCACCAGTCGGTAGGGTCCTTCGGCTTCTTCTGAAAGAGGAAAACGTGAAAATCTTTGTAGGGAATGGTTTAACATCAGAATCTCTTTTCTTTCTTTCTAGAGATCGTTTATTTATTTATTCCACACACGGAGATCACAAGCAGACGGAGACAGGCAGAGGGAGGGGGAAGCAGGGTCCCCGCCGAGCAGAGAGCCCGATGCTGCGCTGGATCCCAGGACCCTGAGACCATGATCTGAGCCACCCGGGCGCCCCGACAGGAAAACTCTGTGATACCAGCGACACTTCCCGATGCAGAATGACTGGGCACCGAGTAGGACAGGAAAGGTCTCGGAAAGGTCTCAGGGAGCAAACTCCCGGAGGAAGCAGCCGCCGCCGTCCAGCTGGCGGCGAACTCCGAGTGCCCACGGACTGGGCGGCGGAGGCCGGATTCTTACCCGACAGCGCGGACGGTGTCACCAACACGACTTCAGGCTCGCACGTCGTCGGTGAACTCAGAGACTGCGTTAACAGAGGGAGGGAACGAAGGGAAACTCAGCCATGGCACGTTCACCGCGAAACCACCACCGCATTCCCTACCCCAACCGCGGACGCGCTACTTTCTAAACAGCTGATGTACACGGGGGCGCCTGGGGGGCTCGGGTCACGGTCTCGGGGCCCTGGGTCGGGCTCTCTGCTCGGCGGGGAGCCGGCTTCCCCCCACCTCTGCCCGCCTCTCTGCCTGCTGGCGATGTCTCTGCCAATGAATAAAACCTTTTAAAGAAATAATAAAAAACAAAAAACTAAAAAACAACAAGTCGGGGTCACAGAACGGCGCTCGGAACCGGGAAGACGCTCTGACCCCGAGGGCGACCCCACAAACGCTCGACGACTGGAGGCCGAGCCGGCGCACGCCCTGGCAAGGGCAGCGAGCGTCAGGGCCCGTCGCGCTCCTCTGGGCTTGGGGTTACCCGGGCGCTCGCCGGAGAGCCCCGAGGGCAGAGCCTCAGGAAGGCACCCGCGCTCCCTGGAGCCCGAGGGCCGCTCCGGGTCGGGGACCGGCCGCGCCGGCTCCGGATCCCGCGGTGACAGCCGGCCAGCAGGGGTCGCCGCCCTCCCCCGCGATCGGGGGCCGCAGGGACGCACGAAGGGCTTCGGGTTCCGCGCGGCTGCCCCGCGGGGTCTCAGGCGGGAACCTGGGAGCCGAGCGGCGACCGCGGCGGCCGGCCCAGCTCCGCGCGGGACGCGCAGTGGCCCCGCACCAGGAGGCCGGGCATGCGCGCGACCCGGGGGCGGGGGAGCGCGGGGCACACGCGGAAGGCACGACCCGGGGGCAGAGAACGGGCACGCCGCCCGCGGAAGCAGCAGCGGCCGAGGGGCCGGGGAAGCGGAGACCGCCGCGGACCGAGCCTCGAGGCCCCGCGCCTCAGCGGCGAGCGCGGCTCACCTGGACGCGGCCCGGCAGACGTGCGTCCTGGGCCCCGCTCTCCGGCGCCCTCAGCGGAGGACCCGACAGGGGCGCGCCTCAGGCGCATCCCTTTCCAGGCGGCAGGTCCGCCCCCGGGGCGGGGACCCGGACGCGGTCCGGCGCGGGGAGGGTCCTGACCGCCCGTCGACCGCTCCGGAGCGCCACCGCAGAGGACGCCGCCGGAGGGAGGTGCGCCTGCTTAAGAGGGCGGAGCCTGAGTCCCGTCGGCCCCCGGGCGGCGCAGTGCACGTCGGGATTTGTAGGAGAGGGCGCGCTTGGGTCCCGTCGGCCCCCGGGGCGGCGCTGGGCACGTTGGGGCCGGGAGGGAGCGCAGGTGGTGGAGTCCCGTGAGCCCCCGGGCGGCGCAATGCACGCTGGGAGCCGGGGCGGGGTCTGGGTGCCGCCCGCCCTCGGGCGGCGCGCTGCACGCCGGGCGTTGGAGTTCAGCGGGGTGACCCGTCGCCGTCCCCTGCGCCCTCTCCGGGCCGGGTGTCCAGGCGCAGACGGCGACGATCAGGACCGCTCGGCCGTGGCGGGCGCGTGCGCAGACGGCCGGGCCGGCAGACGCTGGAGGCGCCGGAGAGCATGGTATGTGGCCCGCGGGGTCGCCTCCCACCGGCCCCTCCTGCGCGCTGCGGCCGAAGGAGCGCCGGGGACTGGGGCGCGCGGGTCTCCGGGCGGCTTCGGGCCGGGGGGCTCCGCTGGGCGCGGGACGAGGTGGGGCGACGGTGCACGGGGCCGGGGCGGAGTCGCGGGGCAGCCGTCGTGCAGAGGTGCGGCGGGTGGCGCGGCCGGTAGGGGTCGCGGGCGTCCACAGACGCGCAGTCCGGGGCTGTCGGAGGCCGGGGCGGGGCCCTGCGCGGGGGGCGAGGACTGCCCCGCAGGGGTGAAGGGGCAGTGCGGAGCGGACGGACCTTCGCTCACCCGCTTCCGGCAGTCGCCGGCGACACCGAGGGTCGCAGCGGCCGGCGGGAGGGAGGTCGCGAGGAGCGGCGCGGAAGCTTCTGGAACGAGACGTGGAGACGGGGTGGGAGCGCCCGTGTCTGGTGAGTTCGGGGACGCGGCAACGCGGTGCGGCGCAGACGCTGAGCGGGACCGACGGGCCGGCGCTCCGGGGGCCGCTGTCCAGCCGCGGGGACGCCGCCGGGCCGGGGTTCGGGCCCGGGACTCTGGGCGGGGCCGGTGAGGTGCCCGCGGCCGGGACCGCCCGAGGGGCCCCGAGCGCAGCGGGGCGGACGGAAGCCTCGGGAACGGGAGACGCGGAGACGGGGCGGGGACCGGACGGGGATCCGGTGCGCAGAGTCCTCGGGGCCGGGAGGAGCGTGTTTGCGGTCGTCCTCAGGTCGCGCGGCCGGCGGGGGTTTCCGAGCGGCGGCCGCGGCCCGGACGCAAGTGCCGGGAGGGTGGAGGCGTGAGGGCGAGGGAAGGAGATGGGGCACGGCGGGCCGGAGAAACGGGACTGGGGACGCGGGGCTTGGGAACCCGGCGGGAGGCTCCGGACGGCCCGGGGGCGGCAGGAGCGCGACGCGCCGAAGAGGACGGAGCCGCCCGCGCCGGCGGTGAAGACCCGGGAGCGAGTCGGGGGACGCGGACCGGAGTGACAAGTCGGCGTCGCGGGCTGCAGCGGGGTGGCTGCCCCGCAGCCCCAAGCGGACGTTCTTTCGTGGTGAGAGCCTGTGCAGGGGCGCCGGGGGCTCTGTCGGTGAAGCGTCTGCCTCCGGCTGCGGTCATGATCTCGGGGTCCTGGGATCCATCCCGCATCAGGCTCCCTGCTCGGTGGAGAGCCCGCTTCTCGCTCTGCCTGTGCTGTCGCTCCCTCTGCTTGTGTGCTTCTGCTCTCTCTTGTCAAATAAAAACCTTTAAAAGAAAAAAACAAAAAAAAAAACCCCTTTTTTTTTTTCCATTTTGTGTCTGGGCAATCTTGGTGCCCAGGTTATATAGATGATTTTTTACAGTTGAAATGTTTTAGTTTTTTCCTATAGTTTAGAGATTTTTAAAAAATCTTTATTGAGTTCGCCCTATTTTCATTCAAGAATTTTATATACTTTAACAAAGTGAAACAATTGAACACCACCACCACCACCACCACCCCGAGAAGCTGCTGACGTTCCTTGATGCCCTCCAGAGAGGGCTGTGAGCTGGAAGGGCAGGCCCTGGTCCCGCCGACACGGGCCTTCGTTACTTTTACATGGATTCAGCCTGTCCAGGGCTCGTTCTAGCCCTTGTCATTTTTTTAGCTTATGAGACATTTCTTTCTAGAGAGCTTTATGCCAGTTCCTTTTTCTACCAACTGTGACGTGTGAAGCACGCGCGGTCTCTGTTCTTAGCTGGCGATCATTGTTTTAGTCGCTGCTACTTTCTCGGGAAACCTGGGAGGCGTAACTCGCGCTGCTGTCCCTGTATTGAGAATCCCATTCCTGCTCATTCTGGCAGCAGACTTGTTCTGGGCTGAGCTTAGACGGTGGCTACTACTCACGCGGAGCCAGCGCCCTGTGCCCTGCGAGGCGCTTGGGATGGACGGAGAAGGACGGGCTTGTCTGGGTCTCTGCCTGGCTACCGACTTGGTAACTTACACAGTAACGATTCGAGCCACTTGGCCGGGCTGGGTCTGTGCACTCCTGTGCCTCTTTTTCTAGAGTTTCCAGAGTGTATTGTTCTTTACACTGTTGATATAACCGTTTGGTCGTGTGTTAGAAGTTCCAAGAGGTGTTGATCAGGAGAAGTCCCTCAAGACCAGACACGAGATCTTTTAGTGTCTGCCAACATTTACTTGGTGCAGATCCGCCAGCTGTGTGACGCTGTGCAGCAGGCTGGCTACCTAACAGCGCGCCGCACTGTGGATTCGTCCTGGAGGTTCTAAGAGTGCCACGCTGAACTTTTTTTGGAAGCAGAATCCACATAACATAAAATCAGGTATTTTCAAGTGTGTGATCCAGTGGTCTTGAGTTCACCCACGGTACTGTGCTACCGCCACCTCTGCTGAGCTCCAGACCACGTCACGACCCTCAGGGAAACCCCACACTCATTGAGGGGTCACTCCCCACTCCGCATTCCCCACCAGGCCCCGGACAGCCACTGCACTGCTTCTGTCTGTAGACTGGCCTGTCTGGGTAGTTCCTGTAATGGACACGACATCTGGCCTTCCGAGTCTGACTTCTTTCACTTGGTGTAACATTTTCAAACTTCGTCTACATCATAGCGTTTTTCAGTATCTTGTTCCTTTTTATGGCCGAGATTCATTGTTTATGTGCACAAAATTTTATTTTACAACCATGACAGAATTTTAAAATCTAGCGCAGATGGCGATTTGCCTAATACAGATGCTACGAGCATTGCTAAGTGATGCCCTGGCTGGGTGTCGGACATCTCTCTCCACTCTAGTTTCTGAGGGACCCTTGGCTTTACCCACCCCCCGTCAGGGAGGCCATCGCCTTCAGCAAAGATGCTGCTCTCCCTTTTGTCAGCTTACTGTCAAAGCATATGAGATCTGTCCTAATTTAGCTAAATGAGATTTTACCAGAAAATACAACTTCAAGCTCTTTGTCTAGTTCTTTTCAGTGGCTCAATTTCAGGAAATAACGTACAGAATATATATTCTATATGTTTCCCTAGAGTCTAAATTAGGGTTCGAAAGTATAGCCCACAGGCTCATTGCCCGTGTGTGTAAACAAAGTTTTTTTTGGTATACTGCTCACCGGTCATTTGCGCATTGTGGAACTGGGTAGCTGCAACAGAGACGAGGCCCCTTCATCTGCCTTACTGGGCCTTCTAACTTAAGTTTCAACTCCCTTCCCCTCCGAAAAACCAGTCAATAGGCTTCAGTGATCTGTGAAAAACCCCAAGTTTTATGCAAAACCGCATGTTTTGCTGGAGAGAGGATCTGAGATTTTCTCTAGCTCCCAGAAGGGACCCAAGACCCCAGGTGACCAACAGCCCGTGCTCCAGGCGGCCCCATGTTCCGCCTCCTTGGAGCTTCTGAGACCTGCTAGAACCGGGTCCTCTGGGCACTTTAAAAAATTGCTGGAGCCCAAAGAGTTTTTGTTTGTGTGAGTTGTAGCCATTGGGATTTACTGTTTTAGAAGTTACAATGAAAAGTTTAAAAACATTTGTATATTTAAAAATAACAATAATCAGCCATTACATATTTGCATTACATTTTTGCAAAGATCACACGTCACACGTAGCCTCCACTGTGTTCCAATGAGCGTGAGAAAGGCAGATAATGGCTTGGGCTTGTTGTGAAGGGAGTTTTGTCTTGGTGGAAACCCTGCAATGCCCAGACCGGACCTGGGCAGCTGCGTGGTGGTCTCCTGCTGAGCGGTCCTCTGCTCGAAGCAAGGGGTCCTGTCAGAAGAGGCTTTGGAAGCTCGTGCCATTGTGGGGTTGGCCTGGCAGAGGGGCTGTTCTGCTGCAAAGGGCAGGAGGGGCACAGGGCAGTCACCCAGGAGTGACCACAGGGGCCACTCCTTCGGGTTTCAGTGCCAGGAGGAGCTGGGTCACCTCTGGGCCACTGGTAGGTTTCTAAATCTTAGGAAAATAGAATCCTGTCTTCATCTTTGGTTTGGCAACTGGGAAGCTCAGAGCCAAAGGGTTAGCCTGCGCTCAGCTCTTGGATGTGCTGTGTGTCTGAGTCTCACCCCGACTTTCCTGCCCTTTACCTCGTCGGTCTCCGCTCGCGTGTCATCCACAGCAGAGTGCTGTGAGCCGGCCTGCACTGTGTGGCTTTGCAAACCGTCCGGTCCTTTGCTGAACAGGAGTGACTGTTGTAAGGACCTATTTAGCAAGAGGCTTCCATTAAGGTTAAACAATAACCTTGTTGTTTAACCCTTAAACTGTCCCTGCGCCCCTTTCCCCAGGGCACTTAAAAATGAGTCCTGGAAACCAGCCCCAGGTAACAAAGCTCAAATACAAGGGTGGGTCAGGCCAGGTGGAGACATCCGGTCATTGGGGGCGCATACTGTCTCCCTAGCTACCAAGGAGTATGGGCCCCGCCCTTTGGGCACCTTTTGGGCTCCAGTTCTGACCAAGGTGACAGGCTGGGTCAAATGTCTACTAGGCTAAATTGTAATTCAGTTGGTCACCGAGCATGACTGTGCAGCTTTCTCTGCGTGTTACAGTGTCATTGGTCACCTGTGCGTGGCCAGGCCCAAACGCATGGCCTTTGCCCTTGAAAGCTAGTCTGTGAAACAGAGAAGGGTCGCCCTCTCTTGTAAGAGGCGCGGCCCCGAACGTTCTGTTAGATTCTTGATGCTTGGCGCGAAATAAAGCTTTGCTTGACCTTTGCTTTGTATCAGTCTCGCTCCTTTAATCACGGACCCATTTTGGGGGGGGGCATAACAACTGTAAATCCTTTCAAGTGAAACTCTCCCTCCTGTATGGTCTGTGGAGTGTTTCAGAGCACTGGCGTCTGGTGCATTCACGTCTGTTGGTTCACGAGGCTGGTGAGTCACTTTCATTACTGATGTCCTTCTCACCAGGTCACCTGAGATAAGCCCAGACCTGGCTGGCCCGTATCTGGAAGTCCGGGCGCCGTTTTCCTTCCTTACGGACTATATATAGTACAGAGACTTGGCAGTTCCCTTGTTTACGACCTCCCACAGCCTCTGCCCTATTTTTCCATTTATTTCTGTCTCACGTACACAGATGTTTCTGTTATTCGTATGATCACATTTAGTCCTAACGGGCCTTTTGTGGCCGCTCAGGGACTGTGGTGAGCGGTGCCCACCACGTCATCAGTTACCTGTGTATATTCTCATCACTGTGGCTCCGCTGATCTTAAACAGGGGAAACCGAAACATTGATGTTCACACACCGTGCAGCCCTTCTCCTGCTCGGCAGAGCCTGGAATCAGCCGACGCTGAAGAGGACCCTGCAGTGGGCTTTGGTGAGGGGCCAAGCCTCGGGTCCGACACCCACCCTCACTGCGTCCCCGGGCTCCTGTGTAAAGAGGGATTTTCCCGAGACTTAGGGAAAAAATAATGTCGTGTTTTATGCAAATTGAAGGGTAGAGATCAAAGTGTATTTTGTGATAAAACACTGAACCCCGTAACTGTTTGAAGGTCGCACTTTGCGTATTTATTCTTCCGTGGCTGTTATTTCAGTCCTCAGAAGACCGTGCAGTCTTCCCGACCGATGAAGAGCGAGACGTGTCGTCCTGGGGTTCTGCAGCGAGGCTGACACGGGGAATCAGCCAGGTCCAGCTGGAGCACCAGCAGCAGTCATGGGACGCTGAAGCTCTGGTCCGGTGGTGTTGGCTTTCCTGCTGTGTGCACAGAGGTCATCTTGGAAGAGCAGGGGCCCGGGTTTATGGCATTTCCTCCCCGTGGCCTGCCACATAGCGCAGGATGAGCGGAAAGCAGACGTGGCCGCAGACGACTTCTTGCCGAACCCAGACGCTTGCCTCCAGGCACCCATGAGAAGCGGGGTGGACAGGAAGAAGCTGGAGCAGCTGTATGACAGGTACAAAGGTAAGCACAGGCTGGGAGCAGGGGGCAGACGGCCGGCAGCTCACTTCCAGCTCCGGGGAACGGAAGGTGTATTCTGGCTTCTTGTGCCGAGTTCACAAGACCTCCAGAAGGTTCTTCCTCCTCTTTCTGGGACTCAGCTGCAACATCCAGCCTGTTGGAAGGGAACCGAGAGCGGCTGGGCTGGGGTGATGGGACAGGGTCTGCCGACGCAGCGGTGGTGAGCCCGTCCTGGGCAGGGTCCGTGGCGCGCACGCCCTGCCGCAGCACCGTGTCCTCGCCGTGCGGGATGCTGTCCCGGGCACACTGCTGTGTGAGCTGGAGGGTTCTGGGGAGGAGGCAGGTGAAGAAGTAACTCTGGCCTCAGGGTAGAAGTCACCTTTCTGCTCACACCATGCAGCCTCACCGTGGGCCCGGAGCCGCTGCACTGTTGAGGAACCGCAGGGGGAAAACTCTTAGCAAGGAAACCGTTTGCGCTCTGCATTGGGGACCGGTGCTGTTTCTTTGAAATCGGCACTTAGAATGGAGCTTTTCCTGTCAGAACACAACCGTGCTGCGGAGTCAGTCTCTGCGACGAGTCTGCACGCGTTGGAGCCCCCGGCAGGCCGTCAGGTTGCATCTCACGCGTCCGTCGATGCTGGAGTCCATGGCAACAACTAGCCAGGGTTTATCTGTTTCTTCTTTCTACGGGTTTCTGAGGTTAACCTATTTCCAGAATTTAAAGACAAAAACAAAAACCTCATTTAAACAAGTATTAACCCAAACAGAATAACTCCTGGGCTTTAAATTCTTATTTATGTATTCTTTTCTTATTTATTTATTTATTTATTTATAAAGATTTTATTTATTTATTTGACAGACAGAGATCACAAGCAGGCAGAGAGGCAGGCAGAGAGAGAGGAGGAAGCAGGCTCCGGGCTCGATCCCAGCACCCTGAGATCATGACCTGAGCCAAAGGCAGAGGCTTTAACCCACTTTTTTTTTTTTTTTTTTTTTTTTTTTTTTTTTAAATCCTTGGCACAAAAACATACTCTGGTAGAAAGACCAGATTTGTTTGAAAAATGAACATTGGTTTTCAAAATGAAAAATCATTGTTTTTAATAAGCTTTAATGTGCTTTAAGTGTTTTTGGCTAAGTTAATTGGTGGAGCTAATTTTGTGAATCACGTGCTATGCGGATTCCTGAAATGATTCAAATGTGTCTTTAAAAAAAATACTTAGAGCTACTTCTGTAGTTTAAGCAGCATCTTTTTATCATTTAGTTTTATTCATGCACTTCTTGTGATTTAAAGTAGACACATTATGCAGTCATCTTGGAGTCTAGAAATAAATCTGTTGTTCAAAGACTGGAGAAGATGAGTTGGTTGTTATGTTAATGTATGCAAATGAGCGAGCACTTCCGCAGTTGCAGTTCGTTTAAAATCTTGTTCCCAGCGCACCTGAGATTTACCAGCCGGCACTGAGGGCAGGTGTGCCCTTCTGGGCATCTGGGACTCTGGGAGCTGTGGGCAATAGGAAGGGTGAGGAGCAGAGGCTGCGGGACAGCAGTCCTCTCCTTATATGGGCAGCAGGCTGCAGGAAGCCTGTGCTCTCGTTTGTTTAAATTACGGCATACCTTTTATTTTATTTTATTTTATTTTGGTGATGACATGTTTATAAAAATGTAGCATATAGTACTTAAGTGACCGCAGTTAAATTTTGTATGATGGAAGAAAAGTGTATCACATTTAATCTTCATTTGAGCAAAGAAGCTACAAATTTTCAATTGGTACCTTCCGAATAGCCAACAAAATTAACACGTGAGCCAGGATGATGTATTAGTATACACGCGTTCTGTTGGAAATTACTAGTTCTAGTTTGGTGAGGTCTCACTGAGATTTTTCTAAGAGATTTTACTATTTGATTTTCTGATAAGGAAATGCTAAATTCCTTAATTTCATTTCTAAACCAGAAATGGGAAGTGAGGAAGTCCTGAGTTTCTAAGCAATTAAATGTGGATGCATGAACTAAATGATTTTGCAACCTAAATGTACAGTAGCACTAAAATTACAGCAAATGAAATCCCACTTTAAAAAGAAAAACATCAGTTTCTTGTTTTGGCAGTGTTGTGGCCAAAACTTCCAATATTATAAACACTTTACAGATGCAGTATTTTTTTTTTTAATTGCAGATTTCTTAAAATTTTTAAGTAATCTCTGCACCCAGTGTAGGGCTCAAACTTATGACCTTGACCTAAGAGTCACAAGTTCCCTGCCTCGGCCAGCCCCCACCCGCAATGCAGTGGTTTTGGTAAGAGTTTGCCTTTGGGCAAACTAGAATTATGTAAACTGGAATTTTTATTTTACTTTACGGAAATCAAATATTTTTTTAATGATGAAGTCTTCTCAAAGAAGTTGCAGTACTCTTTTTTTCTTCCCCTGAAGTCCAGTAACCTCGATGTTTAAAATAGGGCTTTTTTCTGGGTAAATTACTATTTATTGCCGTTCCACGCACAGTAAAAAAATGTGTTCCATCGGTTGATGTCTCCAGGACATGCTTGGTCGGGCTGGGACTCCAACCATCCCTGTTAGTGCTACTTTTCAAAACAGCAAAATTTCTTTCTCTCTTGATTTTAACTGTAGACCCACAAGATGAAAATAAAATTGGAATTGACGGGATTCAACAGTTTTGTGATGACCTGAGCCTAGATCCTGCCAGTGTCAGCGTTTTGGTCATAGCCTGGAGGTTCGGGGCGGCGACACAGTGCGAATTTAGCAAAAAGGAGTTTGTGGCTGGTATGACAGAGCTTGGGTGAGTAAATTGGTCTCGGTTTAAATGTTTTCAAAAATGATGGTACTTTCAACATTATTTTTCAACAACCTATAAACATTAATTTCAAATTAATTTATTTTCTGTGTGTATCTTACAAATTTTTTGTGCCTCTAATCTGCTCTATTAAGCCTTTCCAAGTAAAGTTTTATTTAATACTTTAATTCAGATTAATCCCTTTTGTAATTTACTTTTTTCTTTTTAATTTTTATCCTTCCAGTTTTGAATGTACAGCAGACATCAGGGTGTTTTTGTTTGTTTTCAGCCATTCGTTTCTGGATTCTGTGTCCTAAATGTATTATTTGTGTTGCTATGTTAATCATCAATAAAATATCATTTTGGTTTTTTGCTTGTAACACTTCTCTGTTCTACTCACAGGGTGGGAATAAAAACTTCATTAATAGCTTAAGATGTTTCTCACTTGTCAGATAAGTCAGAGAAGTAAATGAAAGCATGTGACACAAATGTCTTTTAATCGTTAAACTTACTGAGCTATCTCATAGGGTAGTATAAATGCCAACTTGCTTGCCTTGCTGATACTGTGATACTTCAGTGTTGACAGCTTAAACTGGCTTATTTTTAGCTGCTGAAGAGGCTGGAAAGTCTAAGTTAAACATGTTCTTAAGGCGTGGATTATACAGCATCCCAGGGGAAAAAATAGAACATTTGTTTTTTCTACTAAACTGATGAATCTGTGATATTTATCAGCCTTGTCTGTGAGATTACAGACACTTTGCAGGACTAACCCTATTGCCGCTGGTTGTGTAAAACCAAACCGAAGACGTCGTGGTGACCCCTGCGCCACAGCATGTGGCTTCATGTTCTGTGCACCAGGAGCGCCGCGGAGAACTCGGGGAATGTTTGGGATGGAAACAGCTGTTAAAGCAGCATTCTCTCCGCGCCAGGCTGCCCTTTATCCCATCTGCTGGAAGCTCCCCCAGATGGGAGATTTGGGAATTAAGTGCTTCTTCTGGAAACACTTACTGCCATTTCTTTAGTCATTATCTAGAAATATGTTGTACAGGTAAATTTTAAAAACTCCTCTTATCCTACTAAGTGTTAAAAGTTAAAAACGTATTTTAAAGATTTTGAGTGTGAACCTTCCCAAAACGTGTTGGACAAATTCATGCCTCCCTACGCGGAGTACACAGAGTGTAACTGAAGACTGTAGGGTGGCACTGAGCAGAGGCGCTGTGCTCCTGTCTCACAGGGCGGGTGAGAGGGACGGACGGCCCTCTGTAGGCCCTGCAGGACCATGTGCGCAGTGCAGTAACTAGTACGTCGTAGAGACATCCTCGGTGCTTGTAGGGATGTAAAAGGTGGTTGTCGTCTAAACAGCACTAAGCCTTAAAAAATACTTTGGGTTTATGTCGGCTCCGTTACTATTTTTCACACAGTTCCCCGGCCGTTAACTTGACAGTGGTTGGAACACCTCCGTTTAACAGTCGATGCTACATCCTTGCTCTGGAGGCTTGCAGATTCGTAAGTGACCTGAGTAAATGTTGTGAGATTCCTTGATGTCGTGAAAACAAGAAGTGGACACGCTGTGGACCCGCTTCTGGACTGCGCTGTACTCGGTGGGCCTCCCCTTGGCCCGCGGCACAGGGGCTTCGCTCCTGTAGCACTGTGCAAGTCTCGAAGGGAAGTCATGGAGTCTTCCTACTTCCATCTGAAGATTGCTTATCAGTGTTTGTCTTTCCGATGGGGAGAGAAGATTCCTTTTAGCCGCCGACACTGAAGTTACCGGGTGAGCCTGAGACCACGTCTGCTCGGGCCCACGTGCAAACCCGGGCCACGGCTAGAGATCATGGGGGCTGGCTTGCTCTCCTGTACAGGACACGGAACGCTCTACAGTTCTCAACAAAACGTAGGAGAATGTCTTTATTAAAACCCAGATCAAGGACAGATTTTTAGAGAAGGGATAAAAAACGCTAGCCGTAACAGGAAAATGGCTGAGTTGGGCTTCGGCACAGTTAAGAGCTCTCCTTAAGAAAAGACACTGTTAAAAAGGCAGAACAGTGGGAGAAAATACTTGCTCTCTTTGTGTATGTTACAATCATTATAAAAATGGTGGAGAGTGTGTGATTTATGTATAATTCCTAACTAACAGAGCAAGAACAAAGTGATAAAAAATTCAATCCAAAAGAACATGAGATAAAGAAAGAACATAAGGAAAATCAGCTGAACGCAGGACAAGCCGCAAGCACACGATAGAATGGAGGCTTGGAAGCCGATGTGTCAGCATTTACATAATCGCATGAAATGTAGCTGAACTAAATACTGGATGGATCTTAGAAAATAACTATTGTGGATACATTTACGGTAGATGGGGTTAAAACATCAGGACACAGAACAATTTGAAGGATAAAAGTTGATGGAATTTGCAAACATTTAACCAAAAAAAATCTGGTGTGGCTATGTCAATATTAAAATAAGCTTTAAAGCAAGAAGTAATTCTAGGGGTAATGAAGGATGTTTCATTATGAGGAAAGGTTTATTTCACATGGAAGGCAATGAATTATTTAAAGCAAAAATAAGCATTATAAGAGAAAGATACAAATCTACAGTCAAAACGGGGAATTCTCACACACATCTTAGCAACTGATAGAATGAGGAGGTGAAAAACCACTAAGGAAATAGGAAATTTGGGTGGTGCTACCAATGGCCTAATGGACATACTTGGAACATGGCTTTTGATGTTGAAGAACACATATTCTTTTCAGAAGAGGAGTAGACCATTTATAAATACGGATTACAAACTGTATTGTAAAATAAGTTGCAACAAATTTCAAAGGATTAAAATGATACAAAGTATGTTCTGACCACAGTACAGTTAAGGTAGAACAAAAAGATAACTTGATAGGTTGAAATGTGTGCGGTTATCGTATACTCCTGAACAACCCTTGGGAGTAAGAAGACGTTACAGTAGAAATTAGAAAATACTTTGAATCATGAAGAAAACACTACACATGAAAACTTGCAGGATTCAACTTCTTAAATGCGTATTTTAGAAGGAAGAGTTGAAAATCAGTAAGGAAAGCATCCATCTCAAGAAGTAGAAAAAGAACAGGAAAATTAAACTCAAAGAGTGCAGAGAGAATTAATTTTTTTAAACAGGCAATAATTTAAGGAAATAGAAATGAAGCTAATAGAATCCATAAAGCCAGAAGGTTGCCATTTGAAAACACTTACAGAAATATTAGGTAACAAATAACCAACATGGAATGAAAAGGGAGACATCCCTGTAGATCCTATAGATGGTGAAATGTAAGGATATATTACCAACAGCCCTCTGCTAGTAAATGTGAAAAACTGGGTGCAAGAGAGGAGTTCTCTTAAAAATACAATTTACTGGAATGGACACATATGTAGTTCTGTAGCTCTTAAATTTGAACTTGTAATTTAAAATCTTCTCAAAAAGAAAACAAATGGCCAGGATTGGTGCACCAGCACATCCTACAAAACATTCAATGAAGAGAATACCACCAACTTCACACAACCTCCTTAGAGAGTCGTAGCAGAAGAAACACTTTCTGATTTGTTTTGAGGCCAACACAACCTGGATAACAAAACCCAGAGAAGATATTCTAGGAAATGTGCTGCCCAAGCAAGCCCAAGAGGATGTGTGAGGACGGACAATTATTGGCCACTCCCAGTCCTGAGATTCAGAAGATGCATAAGGTGCAAAAATCATAGACAAATTATCAGCTAACTAAATCCATTCCCCAAAACAAATCAACCAAAAAACCAGGACAATTTATCATGACAAGGTTTGTTATAGCCCAGGATTGTGAGATTTGTTAAACATTACAAAGTCACTCAGTGTCCTGTATTAACAACAGAAAAGGGGGAGTTATCTCAAATCCATAAAATGGGTTTGATAAAATTCAATTCCATTCATAATTTTTTGACTTGAAAAATTGAAAAAAAAATTTTTAATTTGAAAAAGAGAGAATTTGGCACAAACCAGGAATACAAGGGACTGTCCTCAAGCTGACCTCTGATTCCTCTAGATCCTACAGGATATATATTTAACTGGAACATGAATGCCTACTTTTATCAGCGTTGAACAGGAGGTGTTAGCTGGTCTGATCCATAGGTAGAATATTCGAATCAGTAAGTGAGTTTGCCGGACTGCGGGACCAAAGATCAGCAAACAAAAATCAGTCTTATTTTAAGAATGCTGAATGCAACACGACAAAGCAAAGTGAATTTTAAAAATTTTTTAAATTGTTTTCAGTAGCATCAGAAATACAAAACTCCTAGGATAAATCTGATTAAAGGTGTGTGCTACCTCCAGAGAGTAAATAACCCAATGAGACGCAGGAAACCTGAATAAATAGGGACATAAAATCATTTGTAGATTTGAACAGTCAGTATTTTTTTTTTTATTTTATTTATTTGTCAGAGAGAGAGGGAGAGCGAGCACAGGCAGACAGAATGGCAGGCAGAGGCAGAGGGAGAAGCAGGCTCCCCGCCAAGCAAGGAGCCCGATGTGGGACTCGATCCCAGGACGCTGGGATCATGACCTGAGCCGAAGGCAGCTGCTTAACCAACTGAGCCACCCAGGCGTCCCAAGGAACAGTCAGTATTTTATCCCTAAATTTGTCTATGAACTCAGTGTCCTATCAATCAAAACCCCAATAAGTAGTAGTTTGTGTAATTGGACAGATGGATTTGGAACGTGTATGAAAATGCTGTCAGGACTAGTCAACAGTTCTTAGCAAGGGGGGGTCCACTCTCTCAGCTAATTAGGACTTTTCAAGCTACAGTAATTAAGACTACACGGCCCTACTGCGGAGGTAAATGGGCCTGTGGGACAGGGTGGGGAGCGAGAAACAAATCCACGTACACAGGCACCCAGACGTATTGCCAAGGCAGCACTTTCAGTGAGGAAAGGAACCTTTTCAGTAAATGTTTCTGTGAGCCTTGGCTACTCACACAGAGGAAAACTTAGCCTGATCCCTACCTCACGCCATAAAAAATGTAAAATCATGTAAAAAAAAAAAAATGTAAAAAATCAGTTCCCAGTGGGTCGTAGTTGTCTGTGAAAGCCTAAAGGCAAAAGCCAGAAGCCTCTGGGAAAATCAAGGAGGAGAATATCTTTTGATGACCATGCTTTAGGGAAAATCTGAACACATCAAGCAAACACTGAAAAGGAAGACTGATAGGATGTATACTAAAAGTAAGAACTGATCGTCAAGAAACACCACCGAGGAAGTGAAATGGCAGCCCACGTTCTGGGAGAGAGAACTTCAACCAAGCTTAGCTGACAAAGGCTTGTGTCCTTCATACGGAAAGAAAGCCTGGGAAACAATAGGAAAAAGATACCTAACTGGAAATGGGCAGGAGACTTGCCAGGCACTTCACAAAAGAGAATTTCCAAAGAGCCAATCACAGCACAAGGCTTACCGACGTACGGGAAGTAGAGGTTAAAACTACAGCCGACTGTGAAACGGCTAAGGTAAGACACAGTCACACGTAACAGTGGAAATGGGGCGAACAGGAGCCCTGCCGTCCTGCTGGCGGGGGCGTGAGGCGGACAGTCTCTGGAAACAGTGTGACATCACATCACTGGAGGTCTGTGGACCTGGTGACCCAGCCGGCCCACTGGGGCTTGTGCCTAACCCAGCACACGTACGTGTGCACCGGGATGCATGTATGGAGACCCTTTTAACAGCCGTCTTTGTTCCCAGAAAACTAGAAACAGCCAGAATAGTTACCACCGGTGGGACACGTAAGTTAGGAAATCTGAATGCAGGGGCGTGCACCTCGGCACAGAGAAGGACTCCCCTGCGCCGGCAGACCGGGGCCTCACAGATTGGCGCGGAAATCACACCGTGAGTTCCGTGATGGACAGTCGGAGTCGGGGCAGCTAACTGTTAAGCACTGCTCATTTGGGGGTGATGCAGGCACATGGGAGGGCCCGGAGCAGCCCCCCAGAGGGAAGGCCAGTGCTGGGGAAGGTGCTGCCCCAACCACCCTCCGTGGGGGTCCCAGGAGCTGTAGTTCTGCACCTCCTGGGCTCACGGCCACTGCCGCCTGCCGTTCTGCTCCCTGCAAAGCCCCGCCGAGTGGGGTCACGCACCTCCGCAGCCTGCTCGTACTTTTCTGTACTGGGGAGTCGAACTATAAAGACAGATTTTACAGTTTCCTATTCTATATTTCTGCTCTAAAGGCTTTTTATTTTAATACTCTTTCTTATAATTTTAAAAAAAGATTTTATTTAAGAGAGAGAGAGAGTGCACATGGGACAGGGAGAGCAGGAGCAGGGGGAGGGGCAGAGGCAGAGGGAGAAGCAGGCTCCCCGCCGAGCAGGGAGCCCGATGCGGGGCTCAATCCCAGGACCCTGAGATCATAACCTGAGCTGAAGGCAGATGCTTCACTAAGCCCCTAGGTGCCCCACTTTTTAATGTTCTTAAAGGTTGTTGACTTCTTGGAGGAAAATCCATTTTTATTATTTATTTAGTTATTTTAAGGTAATTTATTTTTTAAATTCCAGTCTAATTAATGTATTGTTCTAGTAGTTTCAGGTGAACCACAAGCGATTGAACAGTCATGCACCTGACTCAGTGCTCATCCTGATAAGTCCCCACAGTCCCCTCCCCTGTGTCGCCCCGTCCCCACCCAGAAAACCCAGTTTTCCAGCAGCGGCTCTGTGTCCCATCATGCTCGGAGTTCTGAGCTCAGCCGGAAGGAAGTGACCCCAAGTGGAGGAGCTCACGGGCCGGCCCAGCGGCTCAGCGCCACGAGGGGCTGGGCCTGCGTGTGGGTGGAAGTGGGCCTGTGCTCCAGCTCGCACAGGGAAAGCAAACAGTCGTGGGCTCTGTTTTTCCCTTTATTTCTAGGCAGGGTGTAACACGTGGTGTAGTGTTCGCCCACCACCACCTGGAGGTTGGAGGGTCGGTGTCCGAGCAGAGCTGTGCGGCCGTCACTACAGGTGGTTCTGGAATACCGGGGTCCATTTCGCCGGGGCAGGGGGCCCGCCAGCAGTCCGCCTCCCGGACCGGAGCCTCAGGCCGCTGCAGCCCGCGGGAAGGTGCGGCTGCCCCGGCCACGGTGCGCTGTCTCTCCCCGCAGGTGCGACAGCACGGAGAAGCTGCGGGCCCTTCTGCCAAGACTGGAGCAGGAGCTGAAGGATCCAGTGAAGTTCAAGGACTTTTACCAGTTTACCTTTTTCTTCGCTAAGAACCCCGGGCAGAAGGGTTTAGGTGAGTGTAAAGTCCACCGTCGCGAGAAGCCACATCCTCGTGAGACCGAGAGGGCGTCTGACCAGCCCCGTGTCAGTCCTGCCCCCGCAGGGCTCCGCCGTAGCGGTCTCCGGGCGGTTTGCACCACGCACGGGCCGCCCTCCACCCCGCCACACGGTGGTCACCTCCACTTCTGGGTTTCAGTATTTAAATGTCAAAATGTAAACTGATTTGCAAATGCTCCCTGTTCTGTCGCATTGACTCACGGGTCAGAGAAATCAATCCGTATTGACAGGAGTGTTTGCCTCAGGAGGTGTGTGACCCACAGGTGGGACTGTGGGGACCAGCCAGGGGACGGGAGTCCTGTCCTGGTCTGGAGGCATAACACGGTTCTGATGGGCCCTGGATCCCATGTCCATGCTTCTTTCCGACTCGAACAGTTGTGCTCTAATATAGCTTATTGGGAAATTCCTAACTTAAATTTTCAGTCTGTTTTGGTTTCTTTGAGGGCTTTATTCTGCTTATTTTCATTTGTTTTTCCTCCTGAGTACCATATAATTTATTTCTGTGTAATGTAACGGATATGGTTCGTTCAGTAAAGTGTCTTACAGGTTTAGAGCAGGGCCTTGCGTGGCCTTTAAATAGGGTTCAGCAGGTTTATTAGAATGTTTTGAAGAAGGCGTCCTCAGGTGTAAAGCACTATTGGAAAGTAACCAGATTTAAGTAGGAAACCAAAAGGGGCTTGAGAACCCATGGATAGAAAAACCCGTTGGGAACCGTTGATTTCGGGACCCGATTTCACTCGCGTATGTTTGCGGGTGTGTGAGCCGTAAACCTCCTTACCCCTTCCGTCTCGGTCTCAGACGTTCTTCCTTCTCCTGTCAGCATATCAAATGCAGGCGCACGTAGAGAGAGCTTCTGTCCCAGAACCGGGGGTGCGGGCAGGCTCTTCTGTCCCAG